AAAGTAAGTTAATTAATCGATATTTCAGCTGAGCGTGTAATTCTCCCCTCAGCCACAGGGGGCGCTATCTCCCAGCATGACGAACACGGAAGTGTGGCTGGAAACGGAACCTCTGACGTGTCAAACTTTCGCCATTTTCCTGAGGAAGGAAACGCCTTGAAGAAGGAAGGATCCACATCAACCGTGAACGTAAGTGTGTAAGATAGACTTTAACGAAGTCAGTGTATTGTTGTTGATAACTTTGAAAGTAGTCGCATCTAAAGTCATGCGTTTGCAAGCAAAATCAATTTTTGACCTCAGCTGCGATTGTCAGGACGCCGATGGAAAGAAAACAGTCACTTGCTGCTAAGAGCTAACTTTACGATTAACTGGCTAACTAACCTGAATTGACTAAACTTTCCCCTGGTATTTCCTTATTTTCCATTACGTGTCCACATAACTGCCGTATTAAGTTGGCATGAAACAATGCAACAACATTGTTGAAATACTTAAATTGTTTATTTAATTAATTTTCAATGTTTCAAACATCTGAAACACCGTAGCAAGCTAACGGTGTTTGTTTACGTAGGATTGCAGCTGGTTATTTGTGACTCTTAACACTATGTACGTTACACCCTGATTAGGTCATCATCAAATAAATATCAAATGTATTTTCGCGATTCTTCTTAAACCCGTTACTTTGTATTAAAAAGAGCAATGAGATGCTATAACTTATACTATAAGGTAGGTATTATACCTACCTTATATTCCAACTGCAGCCTTTGTTTGCATTAACGTTAGAAAAAGAGAATTTGAGAAACGGGTTAAAAAGTTCAGGTTTTTTCATCCGGATGGTTAGAAGAGAATTTCAGGATAGTTAGCTCTGTTACTGGAATGTAATATTAATACAGTAGAGGCACAGACAGGGGTTAGTCCGTGGCAACACCGATATTTAAATCACACTCTTGACGTATGTTCTAGCAATGGCTTTGGAAATATTGGATTTGAATTCTGGTTTCGCCCGCAGGCAAACATTTTATCTCAGTTGCGGAACGCAGGCATCTGTGACATAATACCTTTAATACCTAATACCTTCGTAGACCCATCCAGCTGCTAGATAAAAAGAAAGATTCAAATGTTCCCCTGATGTTATGTGATCAAATCGAAGAGTAATGCTGAGGAGATGGGACTAACTAAAGGTGTGTGGCATTGGATGGTAGACCTTTCACTGTGGATCCATAAATTAACTTTTGCCAACACGATTCACTCAGCTGGCATGTAAATGGGTTGTTGTGGTATTATTTAGGCTTCCAGAAACTCCCAATTGCAAAGAGTAATGGTTAGGGCTGGGCGATAAGGCCAACAAAGTTTTTGCTCAAATGAAAATTGAAGAAACCAGATGGTTAATTATGTGATTAAACCTTTTCTTTATGGTCAGAACGTGACAAACACTTGATGCCAGACAGTGGATCAATTCACATATCTGAGGTAGAACATTCAAAACAATCAAAATATGATTAGTAAATCTTGTTTCAGTCCCTTTCCCTCAACAAAATAAATATCTTAATAGAAAAATTCAAATGAATTCAGTCAAACATTTATTGACAATAACATTTGCTATATTGTTACTGAGGAAAATTATATTGTGATAATTATCATTATTGTTTTATTGTCAAGACGCGATAACATCTTCAGGTAGCTTGTTTTGTGTGATCACTTGTCCAAAACCCAAAGAGATTGAGTTTAATATCACATAAATCAAAAATAAGCAGTGAATCCTCACATTTGAGAAGCAGGAACTAGGTCATGTTTGGCATTTTCAGTTATTAAAACTGTTGTAGATAAATTTTCTGTCCATCAACTAATTGATGAACTGACTAGTTGTTTCAGCTTTACTCCAAATCTTGTTAATTATTAGCCGTGCATTTTATTCCATACCGCGCTGATTTTAACAACTGATCTGTTGTTTCTCCTCAGTTATTTTTTAGCCAAAGTAGGTTCCCATCACCAGCCGCCATGGGTAATATGTTCGCAGGGCTCTTTAAAATGTTCGGGAAGAAGGAGATGAGGATCCTGATGGTGGGTCTGGATGCTGCTGGAAAGACGACCATTTTGTACAAACTCAAACTTGGAGAGATTGTGACTACCATTCCCACAATAGGTAAGTCAAACAATGTAAAATCACAACGCCTTGCCTCTGACTCTGACATGGCTGTTATTTGTTTTACATCACACAGAATAGGACTTGTCTAGAAAGCCTGCTTACAATTGTTTGATGGCTGTATTACTCTTAAATGTGAACTTTTAACCATTTTTTATCTTTGTTTTCCCCTTTAGGTTTTAATGTAGAGACAGTAGAGTACAAGAGCATCAGTTTCACAGTATGGGATGTCGGTGGGCAAGACAAAATTCGACCGCTGTGGCGTCATTACTTCCAGAACACACAAGGTACGTTCAGTTATGTCTGACATTTCTTGGCTTTAAATTAATTACTTTATTAGTGGGCTTTTTTCTGTACTCCCAAAATTTCCAGTTCTTTGTATTTAAAAGATGCAGTACACATCGCACTCATTTGTTCTCCATTTGCTCATGTTCCAGGTCTCATCTTTGTTGTGGACAGCAACGACAGAGAAAGAATCACCGAGGCTCGTGAAGAGCTCTTAAGAATGCTGGCAGAGGAGGAGCTGCGTGATGCCGTATTATTAGTATTTGCAAACAAACAAGTAAGTAATGCTTATAAAAATTGGTCTAAGCAGGTGTGTATCACAAACACTTTCCTGTTGTACTCAAAGGGTTGGCTTGTAACGATTTGTCACTGTTTATTGTTTGTAGGACCTTCCAAATGCTATGAATGCAGCAGAACTCACAGACAAGATGGATCTTCACTCCCTTCGCAACAGACACTGGTACATCCAGGCAACCTGTGCCACTACCGGGGATGGCCTTTACGAGGGACTGGATTGGTTGTCTAGTCAGCTCAAGAACCATTAATAAATAATCACTTGCTATCCTCAACTACTCTACTCCACCCAACCTCTGACCGTGCTCTCTACTAGGTGTTGCAAAACTGAGTTACCTTTAAAAAAATAAATAAATAAAGTACTGGAAGCAGCCCTCACATCAGCTGGTATTATCACAAACATACAGGGCAGTGGTGGGGGAGATCTTGTAAAGCTGTCTGTTTTTGTATTTTATTTTATGTAACTGTAAATATATTTGGTAATGGGGCAGCTTATTGCGCTCTCACAAATCCTACCGTGGTTATTTCTCTTTCTGGCTGTTGGGCAGCCATGTGTGAGTTGAACAAGAAAAGGGAGGTGAGGAATAACATTTTACCAGCACTTGATGGCCCCAGGACCTCAATGCAGTCTGATGACTTGTTATTATCTAGTCACATCTACTGTAGGGAGTCATCCATGAGGGCCTGTTAATTTACAAACAAACTGAATTAAACACTGATGCACTACTTGCAGCTACTATGGTAACTTTAACCAGTGACTACATGCACCAGCCCCCCAAATTACCATTTAAGAAACACTGGCATTGACTATTTGTACTTCGTACTGACATTAGGCTGTCCAAGTTGAGAACCCCTGTCTGTGAACACTTACCAGCCTTTGTATACGGTGTGTTGGCTTGAATTGATATATGCTGTAATGATCTCACATCTACCTGCTTCATGGTTGTTTGACAGTCTGTCAAGTCAGCATTGAATTTTCGTATTTCTGAGTCTCAGGTTTATCATGTGCTGCCTTCGCAAAATACTTTTTAGCAAAACTAGCTGCATGATGTGGTCTGTTGGTCTTTAAATACATGCGTTTTTGTTGGGTGTTGAAATCATTAGACTGCATAGGACCTACACTGAGGAATTATTTCAACAGCCCTATACTTTAACTTTGTGTGTACGGTGATAGGTAATTGTAACTAAAGGAGTGGAACACTACAATGGCCCTACTGTCTTCGCTAAAGGCTCTAGCAAGGCATACATTTTTTATTCAGTGACTAAAATAGTGAAAATGGCCTTTTCATAACGATACAAAATCGTTTTCAGCTACGTTTAAAGTACTGCCAGTATTACTTCCTTTGCGGCACATTGTCCTATGGTTTAACCGGAAGCCAAACATAATGCCTTCTTATCCAAGACACATGCTGCCTCTTATTTTCAAGCTTCTTATCTAAAATGTATGGGTGTTACTTTACTGCTTTCAATATGTCTGGGGTGGTGCATTAAACTTTTGTTTTTAATTTATAACCTAAATATTTTAAAACTATGTTAAACTGTTTTATGTAAAGCTTTTGTTTTGTGAGGAAAAAGCACTGTAAAGTGACTGGATAAAAAAATGTTTCTGCAACTGATTTTCATTGTCTCACTATGCAATAAAATTGCTCAATTGTAATGTGGAATATAGCTTTCCCTGCTTACTTAGTTGTGTTTTGTCATCTTTGCTTCTAAAACATATGCACACCCAATTGTTCCACCTTTAAATATACCACAGTGCTGAAGTCAGTGGATTAATGGAAAAATGTCAATCGAATTTGATGTTTTACTACTAATTTATGAAGCACAAATGCTAAACACCCTGTTTCTAGCTTCTGAATTTTATGTCCTAACTTTCTTTTTATAATTTTAAAAAAGGAAAAGCAATTGGAAGAAGTCATTTGGGACAGTTTTCGCAATTCTGACATTTTATTGACAGATTGACAGATTCTTTGATAAAACATTACATAAAAATACTAAAATTTAACAACAAACCCCCAAACTGGTGTCATAGCAACCTGTTGCAGCGGTCACCCTTTGACCTATGGAGAAATGTGATGCCCCAAGGTGGTGTAAACCACCCAATGTTTGGGTTAAAGTAGTAATGTGGAGATCACACCCTGTTTCACATAGTGGAGGGGTGGCAATCCAGGACAGCATTCTTGCAGGTTGATTAGGCTGCTATGGTTAACGCAGCCAAGCCTATAAAACATGGCAGGAGAGTATGGTGGTGGTGGAAGGGGAGGGAGTTCGAGTCTCGGGGTCTCTCATAGGGCTGCTTTGTGTGGCCTCCTCTCCTGCTGCTCCATCAGCTTGGTTTGTGTGTGGCAGTCTAACGGTACTCTGTCATATAAAAAGGGCCAGCCTGGTTTTTTGCACTCTTCTTTATGAATGCCTTGCTCTTTTTTAGTGCACCCCCCAAGTCCCATCCAGCAGAATACCCTCTTTCAGACCAATTCAAGGCAAATGCAAACACTACACTCTATTACGACCAGTGGAGAGCATTCCAATGGTATCGCGCCAGTCAGGGAGCCAAACCTAGAACGGTGAGGGATTAAGGAGCGCTGGCGTCATTAAGAAAAGAAGGATGGAAGCTGCCGAGTAGTGCAAGAGGCACAGTGGGATGGAGATGTGCAATGACGAAAAAGGTGTCAAGGAGCACCTTGGAACAAATGTATGCTTAATTTCTGCACGTTATGGCTTCAATTTTCTATATTTAAATAAAGACATTTTCTCTAATGCTGATGTTTAATTTACTGTTCTGATGACACATCTTGCCACAACCTTCAAAAGTTTCAACTTTGCTGAAAAACTGCAAGACGTAAGATACCTTAAAATAGAAATGTTTAGATAAAGAATGATCATTTTTTAAACCTTTAACTTAAGCTAATGTACTCAAGAGTATCAGGTAAGTAGTTCCAGGAAAAATCTTACAGCACACAAGAAATAATGCATATATGTTTTCTCTGCTAACAGCAACCATGTTCCGGGTTCATTTTCTAATGCTTTTTCCTGAAGCGTAACAGCCACCAGGGCTAGACATAGGAATAAAATATTGTGTTTGCTTTTTTGGTTTAATCACGCAAAATGTGTTACTAACTTGTTCCAAAACAGAAAAGACACCAGTGCCCTATGACCAACTGGAAGTTAAAATGCAAGGCCAAAGCCTGTTAGTCACACACATTGACCAGTCTCCTTCCACAGTCCGTTTGGCTGTTCAGGGTAAATGAGGTCTTCAGGTCCAGTCAAGCTGCTGTAGAGCGCTCTGTCTACGTTAGGCTTCTTTGAAGGGGGGGGGCGGGGCATCAGTCGTCCGAGTCTGTGTCGTGGCGCCGCCTGTGACTTTGTGTGGCACCAGCAGGGGCTGTCTTGTGGCTGACAGGGTTACGGGGGACAGGGGACCCCCCATCAGAGGAGTCTGTGTCATGCCACTGCTGTCGCTGATGGGGGAAGGAGGGCTGTCGCTCGGCCTTTGCTCCCCCCCTTGAATGGCTGTCATGGGGTCTGGCTCCGCTCTGACTATGGTATGATGGATTATGATGATGGTGGTCCTTTCTCTGCCTGAAGAGTAAAAGGAAACAAACAATACATGATTAGTTTGTGGTGGATCAAGTAAGATGTTGTGAGGCTGGGGAAAAAAAGAAGCTTCCAGATGAGCTTTATAGTGACATTCACAGAAAACACCCCATGACTTTGTGTAAGTCAATGCAACTGGCCATTGTGTGGATAAATCTCTATAATTATTGTATGATTAACAACATGATCATGAATTCTGTACCATAATATTTATATATATATATATATATATATATATATATATATATATATATTACATTATTCAATCTGGTATGTGCCACCATCATCCCCCCTCCTCGTCTTAGACACCTGATTTACAGGATATATCTGAGTATGTTACATGCACCCCAAATTAAGCAGGTTATGCTTCAAGATGCTGTGTGTAGGACAGTGACTTGGTGCCCTCTAGTGCTGACATAGCAAATCTGTAAGTTTGCAATTTTGGCCAGAATACAGGAGGTGGACACAGTAAAATGAACAAATGTGCAATATACTTTAATAAAAGACAAGACAACTACAATTATTAATGCAACCTTTATGAAGCCTGCAATCATTTTATTTGGTTGGGAGATAGAGGTGTTCTTCTAAATACATGGTAACATGGGGTTTTAAGCCATGCTTTGTAGGGTTCCTGTTATTCTGGCCACCCTCGGGCAACACAGCTAATGACCATACGATCTATATGGAGAAATGAACCAACCTCTTTCTGTTGTCATCTGAACCTGAGGAGGATGAGTCTCTTCTATGCCTTTTCTTCTTTTTTTCCTTCTTCTTTTTCTCCTTTTTGCTCTTCTTTTCTTTCTTTTTCTTTTTGCTCTCATGCCTATGGAGTTAAAAAAAAAAAGAAAAGCAGCAGAGATAATTATTACTGAAGTAAACACACGAAACTGGAGACGAGGTTTTATGTTTTTGTGTGTGAAATATCATGGGTGTTCAAAAAGTTATCAAAGTTGGTAACAGATAATGCAACACACCGTTGTTCCACATCCCCTTTTTCCACACTTTGAGTGTCCTTTGTTGTTGAGGTATCTGGACCAACCGCTGTTTTGTGGTGCTGCAAAGAAAGCATTTCTTTAATAACTACATCGAGTTGTAGACCAAATAAATAAACTCAACTCTTAAAAGTCTCTTCACCATCGCAAAAGATATTCAAAAGGCCCGGTTTTCCATCCATCAAACTGCTTTGCACTCCCATTATAAACACCTGCATCTTCAGTGGAATTTGTCAGCAAGGAGAAGAGAAAACTTACTGTAAAAACTGGCAAGCCTATTTTCGCTGCCTCCTTTTCCTTCTGGGAGAGCACCATTTTTCTTGACCCTGCGCTATAGATGTAAACACTCATTAATAAAACACACTTTACAGTAACCGTGCATTAAGATGAAAGGCTCTTAACACCACCTAAATGTCAAGAGGAACATTTTACTAAAAAGTAGGATCTTAATGAACCAAAACACTCAAAAATGCTGCATTTAAAAGGATATCCAAATATGATATCCAAATGCTCACAAATACTTCTGACATTATTATAGGTGAATACTTTTAAATAATTGTTAATGTAAGCATTTAGCGATTTATGATTGTGATTTTCCATTTTGATTTCCGCATATTCTCATGAATAAATTATATGTTTAATCAGAACATGGTTATTTATTTTTCCATTCCATTGCGCGTTTTCCTTTCCCACACATACCGTCCCTTTTACTGATTCATTTTATATGGTTGCTTTGTGTATTAAGTTGTTTTATCCCAAAGTTGACAGTGTTCTTAAGAAAGAGGAAAAAAAAACAAAAAACACCTGGAGCTTCCCAATCCTGAGACACGGTCTACATTTCTCTCTTCACCATCAACTTCTTCCCTTCTGCAAACATCCGCAAGGTCCTGGTATCAAAATTGGGAAAATTCACATCATTCAACCTTTTTAACAACGGCAGCTTCTTTTTAAAGATGTTCACAAGCTTTTGAGTGAAAGCAAGACCAAACAAAGTGACATACCTCTTTGGTCAGGCCTGTTGGTTGCCTCTTTATATTCTTGTGTCCTCTAGATGGAGAATAGAAAAGAGAAAAATTGATTTGCTGGCCCACACCTGCGTTTGTCAACCATTTCTTTTATAGAAAGTTATACGTACAGGGCAGCCATCAGTGCCTCATGCTCTGCAGCCTTGACGGCCGCAAGTTCTTCCTCTTTGGACAAAGCTGCGCTGCCTTTTTTGTCTCTTGCATACCATGTCAGATCTTTGCCTTTCTGCCATCGTCCTACTGGTGCCATCAAAGAGTTCCCTGGGAACAAGACAGAAGAATTGAGAGCGGATGAGAAAGAGTGTGTTGTACCTGTTATTTCAACTGTATTGTACAGCTAGTTTTACTTTTAATGTAGAGACGGACACTGGAGTGAGTATAAAGGTGCAAATTGTAAAATGCTATGTTGCATCCATGGGGATTATAATAGGCCTTAAGGTGTGTAGATTTTAACAGCACATATCGATGGACATTTTCTGATTCAGATTATAAGCCCTACATTCAATTAAAACTCATGGATGTAGTACTCCAAACAAAAACACAATGAGCATACAATCTGTCATGGGTCAATGGAGCAACTTCAAAGGAGGTCACCTGATGGAGTCAGTCATTTTGAATCTTGAAGCTTATGATGATGTAGGAGGGCTGCAGCAAACAATCATATTCATTATCAATTACTCTGCCAGTTATTTTCTGGATTCTGTGGTTTATCCTTTTGTGCGCATCACCAAAGATTCAACAAAGTCTCACAACAAATATGTGGCATTTTTGCTTGACTAATCTATAATGATATTGGCATTTGTAGATACTGACTTGACCATCTAAACTCATAGACATTTGGCAGTGATATTTCACTTTCGGGAATGCAACTTTTGGGTCACATCCTCTTCCCCAGTCACCATACTTTAAAACAAAATAAAAACTCTGCTGCTGCTGACAAGACAGTATATGTGGTGACAATAAGCTTTATGATATATAAATATAATGGGTTTTTTACGCGAGTTCATGTCCCCAAAGCAGTTGTTGGGTAATTGTATTTATCCTTTAATGCCACAGCTGTGGTGGGTGCTACGTAGTTCTTGTTTGGCATGCTGACCTGTGTACAGCGGAGTGGCTAACGTTACGTGTGTCTGCTCAGCAACAGCAAAGAAAGCCAGGACCTGCAGTTTGTGGACTACAAACAAGACTAAAATCGAGACAGTACCCCAGCCCGGACACTGTGTAATGAAGGACTCTACAACAAAAGGTATGAAAAAGCAGCAGGTAGCGTACTGAAGCCATGGCGTCTGGCTGTGATTTTAAAAGTCCTGCTCTGTTGGTTTCGAGTTAGCAGACAGCTATTAGCAATGTGTCTGCTTAGCGCTGATAGCGGACTTGACTGACAGGGTTTTTCAAACTTACCGAGATAATTTTCTCTGTGTTTATCGCCTTTTACGTCATCCCAGTTGAACTGGTCCTGGCCCCCTCGGACCCCTCCAGATCTCGAGGAACCAAACATTTTAGTCCGATCCTTTGAGGACTTGGAGAAAAGCGTGTGTGCTGTTAGCTTAACCCACTGACTTTAGCCGCATTAGCACACGAGCAGCGCGGCCTTCCGCATCCAATCATCCGGGGAGTTCTGCGGTAAGTTTAACCGGTTAACCTCGCTGTGTTGACTGGAAAAAAATGTTTCCTGGTGGTAGTATTTTGGACACTGAAAGGTATCCGGTAACTAATTCTGTCTCTGTTGGGTAAAGCAGTTTCCAGCTCTTAACATTAAGTTACTCTGCGGCCTACAAACCAAAGCTATGAGTGTCGTGTCCGTGCGCATATGTGTCCCCCCTTTAAAGGAGAAACTACAGCTACCAGTCAGTTACATACATATATTTAAAATAGGTGCTTTTCTTCTTGGGCTAATGTTAATAAAAACTTCTGTGCTTTTGTCGCGCGCATTCTCGACGCTCGCGAACGTAACGTGGTGATGTTTTGGCCCGCAGTGATGACGTAGGCTGCAAATTTTTTTCCCAATGGCTGTGACAGCAAAGACACAGAGCAGAGGAGGGAGGAAATTCTCCTGAGACGGGCCCAAAGTCTTGGACTAACGTAACCTCCCGATGTACATGAGATATTTTTCCAGGCTATTTTCAGGTAGGAAGGAAGTCATTTGTCTCTCTCCTGTTATATTTGAATGATCTGCCATTTAACTCTAGCTAATAGTGCCATTCATAGTAGTGCCATTGTCTTTCAGTGTGATAGAAGTCAGGTTGTTTCTACTACGTTGTTGCAGGGGAGTGTGATTGTTGTGTGTTCACTGAGCAGGATTAAGTTAAGATGATGCAACGTTACCTTAAATTTAATCGTTGGTGTGCTTGCTGCTGCACAGCAATGCTGTCTTGCATACTTGCCTGGTTGTTAGTGTGATTTCTGTGCAACAAATGTAATGTCATCAAGAATGGTGCATTATTACCTGTAGATAGGAGCAATCGGTGATAAGTGTTTTGTAACAGTCCCGTAGACATCTGTTGTATGTGTTTATCAGCCATTGCATATAAAGGTCATACTCTCTGTTATACATGCCCATGTGTATATGCGCTCATGTATATGTGCACATGTAAATATCTGCAACGTTGTTCTTCTATTCCATATTTATATATTTCTATATTTATTTATGTTGACTGTATCTTTGTCTACGTGTAGCACCTTATCACCACAGCAAATTCCTCGTATGTGTAAAACACTACTTGGCAATAAAGCTCCTTCTAATTCTGATGCCATACTGTATTAAGGCCTAATCCTGAGGCCTTTTAAATCCCCCATTCTCTCCTGTGTCTTTAAGTCAGCCAGTACTTCAATTCGTTTATGTATGACTGTAAAGTTATCCAAAAATCCTACTTGTCAGTATCAATGCAGAAAGCAATCTCACACATTTTCTTTAGGAAATGCTTCCCTAGTTTGTGTTGATCATCCTTAAAACATTAATTCAGCCTATCCAAGCAAGTCACATTTTTTGGCACCTAACAGTGAGTCATAGTTTACTTTTTTTTATCTGTTAGATAATTCTGGCATAGGATTATAAACACTCACTATAATATTGAAACATGGAAAGTGCTGTATTGCAGTTTCTGTGTGCTATGTTTGGATTCACAGAAAACATGCTGGAATTAAGATCAACAACCAACAACACTGCTCTCTGGACAAATACTGCATGTTGCTCTTTCTAGGGCGGCAACAAACAATTATTTTCATTAGTGATTAGTCAGTAAACTGCTTTTTTGATTCAAAAAGTGCGTATTTTGTCCAGACAACAGTTCAAAACCCAAAGATATTCAGTATGCTCATATAAGACAAAGACAGGCATTTAATGATCACATTTGAGAAGCACTAATTGGTTAATCAACTTACTGTTTCAGCTATCAGACTGAACACATGAGCAGAGACCTGATAGATTTCACATGATTTAAATTTTGTTCCAAGCAAATGTCAATCACATGAGGTTTACTGCACATGGGTCGGCCCATGCTGACTGAAAACTCTCGTGTCTTTCATTTCCTGTCTCGCAGTTCAGTGCCAGTTTCACACTGGGGCTGTAACGAACAGCTGTTCTGCGTATAAGGTTATCTGTTTATTTGTAATCATTTGTTGTCTCTAAAATGTCTGAACTTGTGATAAATGACCCTCTGTTGGTTAAAGTTATAAATTAAAATAGCATATTTGGTCTGACTGGCAGCAGCAGAGCAAAAATATTGATACAAATATAGGAAACATTAGGAAATTAGATTTTTCACTCAAAAGCTTGTGTTTACGTATGGTAACGGAGCCGATCCACATTGCCCAAATAGAATCATTGATTACTTTTGAAAATCCTGTGATGGATGGTTTTTAGGAGTTAAAACCGAATGAATACCGAAAAAATGCTGAGGCATCTTCACTTGCTTATGAAAAAGGGACTCGTGCACCTTTTAATGAACCATGTGGCTGTTTACTGGAAACATTCAAGAGGCAATGGAGAATGCCTCTTGTCATTTGCACCTGCAAAGACAAGCTTGCTGCATCTAGTTTGCCTGGAGAACAAGCAGGCTCATAATGCTGTGAATAGATCTTAGAGGCTTGCCAAAGTCCAGCAAAATTAACTTTTGTTTTTAAAGATGGATTAGGATAAGATGCATGTGTACATAAATTTTAATTTGGTAGATACCCTTATTGTCATATGGAATATCTCATTTTTGGACTAATTGCAAACCTGTCTTATACCTGACATTGATGTGAGTAATAGGCCTGTAACCAATAATGATTGATTATGATTAGCTTTTGACTTCTTTAAACTCAATTGGACAGCCAAATACTTTTTCTTCACCCATAGAAGAGATCACACTAGTAATTACTTAGGAGAAAGGAGGGTTGTCTTAGCCTTCTATTCAACATTTTAAATTTGTCTTGGACAACAAAATCTACTGGGGTGTAAACCTGGCCATGCCCTGTTTTTTCCTCCCCTCCTCCCATCTGTACTTGTTCACAATCTACCAGCACACAATCACACCCTCCATGTTCACTTGAATTTCCTGTCTGCTCGAGCTCTGTGTGTACAGAGGAAAGGTAAGGAGGAACACTACAGGCATTACATTGTTCTTTACTTGAGTAGCTCACCTAAAAATGTTGGTAATGAATGAAACATTGTGTTGAATATCACCGCACAGGGAATGTAAGATTTTGAAGTCACTAGTCTACAAAGATGTATAATACAAGTACTGTGCTTATAGGTTTGTCAGTGATTGGATGGCTGCATTGACTAGATAAAGAGAGTTTTAAGTTGTCGTTTACTTGAATATGAGCCCTTATCTATATTAAAAGCAATTTTTCTTGTTAGCTGCTCTGTTTTTCTCCCAAGCGGAGTAGGGCTCCCCAATTAGTGAGTAATTGCTCCTCGACAGCACCACAGTAACCTCATGGCTTGGCAACCAGTTGATTGCCTCTGTTGTTGTGGGGGAGGGGGGGGGGGGTTGTTTTTGTTTTTAGTTTCATTTGGTTCGCCTTTGAGGAACCTCCGTCTTATCATTTTTATCATGTTTATCCCACCAGAGTGAAGCTTGCCTAAATATGTTAACCCTCTGTAATGTTGAGAAAGGTCTTTTCTTTTTAAAGCCCTTTGTTTGGGCACAGACAGGTTTGGTTCTATAACAGCTCGTGCCATAAGATTTCAGTGGATTTGTTTCATCCCACTTGTTTCCAGTACTGAACTCTCCTCTCCACCTCTCCTTTAGCTATGGCTGGACCCAGGCCCGTGGTTCTTAGCGGCCCGTCCGGGGCAGGGAAGAGCACTCTGCTGAAGAAGCTCATGAAAGAATATGACAGTGTCTTTGGCTTTAGCGTCTCCCGTAAGCGCGCCACTCTACAACAAAGCATTTTTCATTAATTTTGTTGGATGGAGATGTGGATGTTTTACATGTGTCCTTAATATCACACATACAAGCAAAAGCAGTTTTATATTCAAATAGGGCAGCAACTAAATTTACATTACATTAAACTTATTTGGCAGACGCTTTTATCCAAAGTGACTTACATTTGAGGAACAGCATACAAGCATTAACAGAGCATCAACAACTGACAACACATACTAGTAAGGGCAGCAATAAACACTAGTAATAGCTAATAGCATGTATGGCATCAATGGGGTAAATACCTAGGGAAAGAAGTAAAAGTTAAAAAAGTGCAATCAATGCAAGATAATTGTAAGGGGATAGAAGAAGAAGGGCACAGGAAGTGCATGTTAGGGGTTAGAGGTAAGATTTTCTGTGTTTTGTTTGGAAAAAAAACCCACTGAAGCTGGACCCATATTCTTTTTTTGCTGCGATGATTAGTCAATTGATCGATGAGTCCACTGACAGAAAATTATTCTGCAAATATTTTAATAATTGTTTAAATGTCTTATCAATCTGCAGATACAACAAGAAATCCTCGACCTGGAGAAGAGAATGGCAAAGGTACTGCTTGTTCCTCTTCTTTCACGAGCACTGTTACAGTAAATCACCTTTGTAGCTTTCTTTATCTGTATTCCCTATGTCTCCTTTCAGATTACCATTATGTCACACGTGAGGTGATGCAAATGGGTATTGACAAAGGCGATTTCATTGAGAATGCAGAGTTTTCTGGGAACATGTATGGGACGAGTAAAGCTGCTGTGCAAGACGTCCAGGCAAAGAACCTCATCTGTATACTTGACATTGACATGCAGGGTGTGAGGAACATCAAAACGACGGACCTCAATCCAATCTACATCTCTATCCAGCCACCCTCCATGGCTGTCCTGGTAAGCAAAGAAGGAAATGCACTTCATTTAATTGATGCCATGCACACACGTCTGGAGGTTCCTATTTTCCCGTGAGAGAGAAGATCCTGGGTGTCGTACAGGCTTTGGACGCTCAGAATATTTCTGAAAACTTTCTTTACATCAAAGCATTTTGTGGATTTGTATTCTTTTAGGAAAAACGTTTAAGAGACAGAAAAACCGAGTCAGAGGAGAACCTCCAGAAGCGTTTACGTGCAGCCATGGTGGACATGCAGTTTAGTGAGTATTTATTATTTGTTTGAAAAAATTTAACCACATAAACACAACTTTGAACATAAGTATATCTCCTTCTAGGTAAAGAACCTGGTGTATTTGATGCCGTAATCGTCAATGATAATTTGGAAGATGCTTATGGGCAGTTAAAAAATGCCCTTCTGGAGGTGAGTTAACTCATGTAGAACACAGTCCTTGACTTTAGATAATCAACACACATTAAAACACTGTTTTGTGTCCATGGGTGATTTAAAGAGTTTGGAGAGTTGTGTCTTTTTTAATTTTATTTAGCCTTACCAAAGCCACCAAACAAAAGAGCAAAAGTGTAAGGCATTGAATAAACATAATGTTTATCTGCTCTAATGTAAGCTTGACATGTTAGCCTGTCTGGCTAATTTGCTTACTACCTACAGGAGTAACGCAGTGTTACTTCCAAGCGGTCAAGAGTTACCATATTATTAGCTAACTACATTATTTTGTGGGGTTATAGGTTATATTAGAAAGTGCCCCACTCACAACAAGCACGTGCATGATAATGTACCAGAGTTTACCACAGTCTATATATAAGTTTACATTGTCCTCTTCTTTCTTGGATTCGGTGGACTTTATACTAGCCAAACATTAACGCTACGTTTGCCTTACACACTGGTGAGGCCTCATCCTAAAATCCTTTTCTCATGGAACGTTAAAACTGTAAATACTAACAATAAAGATTATATCTAATTTCTGTCTTGACTGTCCAAGAATGTAAGAATCCAAACAGGATTATGTTAGCTAATAGTATGATCTTATATTTTGGCTAACTAGCTCTACATGGCAATACAAGAACATTGCTGTTTCTTTATTTCCATGTCCCCTTCATGAATTGTCAATGAGGATGAGGATAATTCTTTGCCCGAGGCATGTAACTTTAGCACAACTAGTACATTAAGGATTTTCAAACAACTCATGTAGCTAACTTTTGCTTAATTTACTAGCTTAGTTAGCTACAGCTGATAAAATTGACAGTCCCCCACTAAAAGTGAGAGGACTGCTTTTGTCCACTTCTGTCTGAAATCAAGTACCAACTGGCTCAAAATTTCATGTACATTTAGGGGTTGATCTGCCCCCCTTATTATAAATTGCATATGTGGTATGCAAGGGAAAAGCATGACAGGCATAGCAACAGTATTTAGGAGTGGCGGGGCTTAGCTTCACTTCATTTTAGCATGTCACAGATATACACGAAGTTGTCTTCAAAGCAACTGACACGAGAATCTTGCAAAAGGCAAATTCAACTGTGCCATCTGGCTTTGAATTTCTTAGTCCATTGTTGTAGATTTGTTTGTATTTCCTGCCCAACATGACCTACTCGTATTGGGAGCATAAAAAAATATTTCTTTTCCTTCTCTAGGAAATTACTAAGGTCAAGAAAGTCAACATGTCTTCGTAAGACACAGCAGCAGTCTGCCTCGTTTGTTTGGTCCCATCCAGCCACTCCTCACAAAACCACAGACCTCCATTCCAGTCGTGAACATTCCCTCAGATGGTGGTCTATGAATACGTACAGTAGGGTTTACCGAATTATATATTACATAATGTAAAGTGGAACATTTTTTTAACTATCGGGAAGTGCTTTCCATGTTTTTATTTTGATTTGTATGAAGAAAAAATACTCCAATAATGCTTACTTGATGTTCTGTTGGGTTTACTAAACACAGATACCACTTCCAGCAATGTTATATCCTCCCCACCAACCTGGACTAAACAGAGAGTATTTTAAGGGTTTGAAAGAGTTTCTGGGTATCGTGTTGTGAGTTATGCTACTCTTATAACTTGAGAGTTTTTTGTGCTGCCAGTCGCACTGTGTTGATGGGGAAACAGACCCATTGAAATGTACTGGAGACACAGACAGTGAGAGTTTGATGTCAGGACCCTGTGCTAACTCCATTAAAGTGTGGTCTGCTGGTTAACCATATGTGCTCTAGTTGGTAGAGGTAGAAAATTATAATATAGCTTTTTTATTTTTTTTTATAACAGAACAATTTTACTTTTAGTTTTAAATTTGTAATACTTTTATATTGTGTAACTATCATTTTTTAGCTTAACTTGTCCAGTAAAATGACATTCAGTGGACTGTTTTGATTCCTAGCTAAAGGAGGGGGTTTTAACATTACAGGACAATTAAAGTTTTGGCATGTTTTTATATTACATTGCTTAGAATCAAGCATACAAATCTCCTTTTACTTGAAAACCGAGAATATTTATGACTCATCTGTAATTTGTTTATTTTTTTCTCCATAACAGTCAAGTTTTTTTTAATTTTAAAGTGTCCACTTATACAGTAATTAAATGTTACATCATACTCTCTGAGATGCATGCAGTTCTCTGGCTTTCCATTAACACTTAACCAGCTCTGTTAATAATGTGCATGTTGTGAAAAAAATGAAGTCCATTAAACGTCCAGCAGGAACACTGTCTGTTAAAACTTAATAAGTTACACTAAAATACTGAAAGAATTATTTGTATGTGTGCTATAAATAACAACTGTGAAAGAAACTGGCCATAGTTATTATTTGCAGTACATTTATTTAATTCAGATTAAACACAGAGTACTCAAACATCTTTCCCCTAACTACACATGTACAGTACAAGCAATTACAATCTGTTAATGCCTAAATGTTAATAAATAACATGATCCTTGTAACTAACTAAAATACCTTTTAAAAACAACACAACCACAAATCTTTAAGAGGCCAGTTACTGTATTCTAGTCACTTTTTAAATTGGATTGAGAAGGTAGTAAATTCTGTGAGCTCAAGTACTTTGCACAAACATCAAATATGAAATTACAGATCTGGTTGCTCCAGATGAACACCTATGCTTTGGAAAAGCAAATACATGCAGTCACTCCTCTAAATATCTATTACTTGCATATCAATGTCTCTGTGATATCCTGTGTATTCACAGGAAATTGCACTGCATTAACATACACAAAATGTCTAAAAAGCAGAGTATATCATTCAGTTCACAATGGCAGAAACATGTTTTGCAATAATAAATTACGTAAATGCAGTCAAACACAGATCAGATGTGAAACAGGTTGTCAGTTCACCGACCAAATGATTTGCTCGGAGAAGTGTCATAAGCTGCAAACCAATAAATCGTTCACAAACAACCAAAGTAGTAGAGAACTTCTGTTTGATTTTGCCAAACTGACTATAATTTGACCACACAGCTTTGATTAAACTCGACAACAGCCCATGTACCACAACGGTCACCAAAGTTCTGTTATGTAAAATGAATTTACATAATCAGTGTTGCATATTTAAATAAATGTATAGCAATACTGAAGTAGAAACATGTAGACATGACCTCATGACTAGTCATTAGCTCCAACATTTGCTGCTCCAGAAATCCAAGGCACTGCAAAAGGCATAATTTCTTAAAAGGTACAAAAGTAAAACCGAAAAAATATATATCTAAATATACTATATACCTATTTGTTTATGTATATAGCAAGAGTCTGCCTGGATGAGTTAATATTGATGGGTCAAGGTTCCTGATTGTGTGAAGGAAACATGATTTTTTTTTTTTTTTTTTTTTAAATGTGTTCCTTTTTTTTCCCAACTCAATAACAGTCGTTGAAATTGTTCATCAGTAAAATGTCAAACCTTAATTTCTTGGTTTCTGTCCACTGTTTGGGACTGACTTACAGTGACATAGTTATAACTACATTTTCCAACTCGCCTCGTCTAAAGAGACCATCTGACTCTAACCACTTGGCAAGAAAAAGACTCAGAGCCTGTTTTCTGATGGGCAGCTTCAAAATGGAATGGTTTGTCAAATGCAGCAAATATACTTCAGGTTAGGATATGTCTTATGCATCATGTAAGTAGAAATGTCCCCATTTAAGACTAAGATGGTTTATGGTACCAAATTGCTACTACTGGTTCTGATAAAGGTTATCACTGATTTGAAGAGTGACTGGGTTGCCCACTGATGTGTAGCCGTAGGTCTGCGTTGACACTTTGGTTTTAAAGCTCTGTTGCCCACCCTCAACTCTCTGCACCTCTGAGCAGTATGAAGGCTTCACTTCCAGCTTTGCGTGGCTCACTTGGATGGGCACGTGCCTCTCCGTCCTGGACCGGGCTCCGCTGGCTTGGGGGACAGCAGATGAGAAAAGGCTGCTGGAGAGATGATCCCTGAAGCGACCGAAGAAGCCACTCCTCTGCCTTGGGACCACTACGGGCCGTCCCACGTTGAGGAGCACCGGCTGTCCCACTGTGGATCCGCCGATCTCCCTCTGGAGCACTGAGATCTCACAGGGCTTTTCTGCAGCAAGGTTGTGCATGCTGGAGGAGCCATAGGTCTCTCCTTCTTCTGGGACGTAGTCCTCCAAGTCTTCGAGGTTCAGGACTCGGGCTCCTTGGGTCAGAATCTGAGGCTCTGGCAGTCCGAATGAGTTACGATCATCATCTTCATCATCAGGTTCAAAGATGACAGTTTGTTGATCATCCAGGTCATCGCTGTCCTCTCCAGCTCCCGTAAGGACAGATGAGAGCTCATGTGGCTCTCCGGTGATTCCAGAGACAGAGTCAGAAGTAACATTACTCTCCTCTTCATCCCAGGACGGCGGCTGGCTGCTGACCTCTCCCTGCAAGGCCTGCTCCACCAGCTTGTTGTTGGAATTGTTAGCGTTTGGGTTTTCTGGTGGAGACCTTTTGGGTCTGGAGGGAGTGGCTGCACGATCAGACCCTGCAGGTGAGATGCCTCTCCTCCTGGGCAGCCTGGGGGATTTATTGACCTTATACTCGATGACCTCCTCTACCTCAACCCAACTGGGTTTGCTCTCCATTGCTCTGGCTTCAGCACGGTCGGGTTCAGTGACGTAGAGGGTTGGGATGGTGGTCTTTCTTGAAGTGGGCATCCTCCTCGGCCTGGCTGCAGGGGGCTCTGGGGTGGAGGTCTCCGAGCGGTGGGCTCCAACAACAGTCAGGCCAGGGGACCTGTGCCTCCTCATACGTGGGTTCTTCACCACAGTGGTTATAGTCTCCTCACTGGCATGAAGAGAAAAATACAACAGACATTATTAGAGACTTTCTGTACAAAATGCCAGGCTGCATGCAGTTTTCACTCTGTTGATTAAAGCTGGTGGGCGTACACCGCCGCTTATGAGCCAGTACAAATGACACAGGGCTATGTAACTAAATAGGAAAAGCTGACTCCTCAAAAACTAGACAGGAAAGTTTGACATCAAGTCAGCGCTTCCCACCATAAGCTTGCTGCACTGCATGCTGTGTGTCGGTACAGGAAGAAGTGTTGGACTCAAATATAAATGCTGAGTGAGCAGCTGAAGTAATAAAGTTGGCGGTTAAAGATGACAGCACCCTGGTGAGGACAGCCCATCCTTTCATCATCCTTGTGATAGAATCCTTTGCACTCGGGCTTTAAGTAGTTCCCAACAATTCATACATGGGCAACAGAGAGAAGCACACACATACAAAAAATTGCCATTTTAGCAATGCAATATCTACACAGCAAGGCCAAAAATACAACATTCAGTGCATATGTCTGACAAAGCCAGCAACTGCAGAGGGTCCTGAAACAAATACCCTTGAAGATTCTTGATGTTGACAAAGGATCAGTTAGATATGAAGCATTTTTTTAATAGTCTAGGTAACATTTCTTGCTGAAGTTATGAAGACATGAAATGCACAGAGGAATTGTCTACAAAATGATCTGATGTCCAACCAGGAAACACAAGGATAATTTTAGCCAGTTCACACTTACATGATGATGGTTTTCTTTGGTATTCTAGTCTCCTGCTCAGTAACTACAGGGGGAAGCAGAATGAAGGAGATTTAATAAACCAAATAAGACTCTTACATCTAGAGTATGAGATGCATCTTTAAATGTATATTTAAATCTGCATGAATAACATTATTATTATGGAAAAAAGTGCACATTATTATTATAGAGTCTCCTTTTGTAAGGACAAAGTCAGTGTTCCTACCTTCAATAGTGATGGCCTGCTCACCAGTGCGAGCCAAAGCAGAGGGTGGAACTAAATCCGCAGCACACTTGGCACTGCCCAGACGGTTGGACAACTGGCAAAAGCAGGGAATATATTTTTAGAGTCCTAAAGATGACTTGTTGTTAACTGATTGACTTAGAGTCAGCTCTTGGATGCAAACACAATCATAAAGCTGAATTAAAGTGATTGATTGGTTATTCTGCACAGAATTTATACACACAAGCAGTGTTTATGTTTTCCCTCCTCGACATATTAGTTTAAATAACACTATGATAAAGTTGTGATTAAAGTATGATCTTTTATTGTTGACCAACCTCACACTCATAGTGTCCCAGGTCTCTCTCTGTCAGGTTCTTTATTACTAAGACCAGAACACCACTACGGAGCTCGCTGTAGGTCTGATACTTTTCCTGGTCAGTCAGCAGCCTGCTATCTTTGAACCACCTTCACCAAAAACAGGGAAACAGCCCGAGTTAATGCACAGCACAGGGCAAAAGAAGTTTCAAAGGAACTCTTGAATTTAATCACAGTGTTCTACAAATTTCATTAACGTATGCATACCTGATCTTGGGGCTTGGGGCACTCTGCATGACACAGGTGAACTGAGCGTCCTCACCGGCGACAAACGTAGCATTCCTCATTTTATTCACAAAACGAGGAGGCACTTCAAGAAATATGTCAAAATATTATACATGTTTAAACCATACACTGATATATATAAAGATGGATGGCATGACAGCTCCCCAAAAGTTAAAGCAAAACATCCTGGTCGCCCCCTGGTGGCTGGCTGCAATATTGTTCCCTGATGTAAGTGAATAGGACATGGGCAAAACTGACACATCAAATCCAAGTACATTAAATGTGTTCTAAAGATGGTTTCTGTCATTTTAGAAAGTTTTTATCATGCTTCAATTACATTTTAGAGCCAATTCATAACTTTACTTTTAACCATACTGTTTGTAGTATTATTTACAGAGACGCAACAGTTCCAACCATGAGCAAGCACTAGACAACAGTGGCAAGGAAAAACTCCCTTTTAACGGGTAGAAACCTTAAGCAGAACCTAGACTCAGAAAGTGATGTATGATCAATATATAAAAAAGGGGATTTCACATCATGATTGACAGCTGAGCCCTGCTCGCAATTGAGTGGGCAGGGTGTATGGGCGGGACCTTGATATGGCAGCTCCAACCCCTATCACGCAAGCGCAAGAAAGGGTGTCCTGGATATTTTGGCCTCATTTTGTATAGTTGGAGGTAGGGGAGATGTGTTGTCCACCTTTGTATACAGTCTGGTTTAAATACTATAGAGGTTTATGAGCATAGTAAAAATACTAAATACTGTGCTGTAGCGATCTCTGAAAAAGCTAAATTGTTAACATAATAAATGCTTCACAAAAATCTATTACTGAATTCCAAAAACTTTTTAAATATAAATTAAATATTCAGGTATTTTAGGACTCTATATGCCACTTACCCTGAACAGTGATCTTGCCGAGTGTGCTGGCACTGCCAGCTGGGCTTGTGGCAAAGCACATGTACTGGCCAGAATCATCCGCTGTCATGTTATCCAAGATCAGTGTGCAGGAACCATCAGGGTCCTCAATGATGATGTGATGAGGATCTGCCTCCACAGTACGTCCATCTACATTCAGCAAATAAACCAATGTACTGATCAAACACATGTGACCTCAGTTACTGTTTGTATACAGAAGTTAGTCTGTCACTCAGCAGTTACTGGCACACATCATAACTCACCATTAGTCTATATACTGTCTGCCTTTAAAATGTGGTGCAAATGACGTACCCTTGTACCAAGTAATTGCAGGTTTGGGTACTCCAGTGGCTTTGCAGGCCAGCTTAACAGTCTGTCCCAGCTCTGCTGTGCAGTTTGCCAGGATTTCATCAAAGTCAGGAGGGCCTGTAAAAGGAGATTAATCATGGAAGGTTATGTTTGAAAGTGGTGATGAACAAGAGTACAATACAGAAAAAAAGTTAGACTGTGTGTGTTCTGCTTACTCCAGGCAGGCATGCTGTATCGCTGCTGCAGTTCCCTGAGGTCTCTCAGCCACGAGTTCTTGATGGTAACAGTTCGGGCCTGCAAGGTGTATTTCCTCACAGAGTCCTCACGTTCATGCCAGATCTCAAAGGCACGCTCATCACCCTCAACTGTCTCATTTACATCAATGTTATTCAGCTGCAACAGGATGAAGAATACAGAAAACACAGTTCAGGGTGCTGGTCAGGAAAGATTAGACAGTAAGTAAGTCTTAAAAGTCTTACCTTCATCATGTTCTTAAAGACATATGCTTGTGTATCAGTGTTGCTGTCTCTCTTGGGTTTGCAGATTATACAGTAGTTCTTAAACAGGAAGACATGGCGATGGTGACCTCTAGAGGATGTCCTAATTCCTGGAGCCCCTTCCCACACTTGGAAAGGTCCCTGGTTTCAAAAGAAAAGAAAAATCATACAATACATAAACATCAAACAAACTCATTCATGCCTCGGATCGCTGTACTAGTCTGGAATGCAACAGTAACTCTATCTACCTGTCTTATTGGCTCTCCTAATACTTCCAGTGTGGCTGGATAGTTCTCGATCATGGAGACGTGGTGGGTATTCTCAGAGCGCTGAGGGAGTGCAGATACCATGGCATACGCTTCTTCCAGTAGGCAGCAGTTCTGACCATTTCTTGCCTTGTTTCGAATGAGCTCCTGAAGATGTTGGGGATGAGATTTCAATAAAACTGCCTTAAACATGAAAGTGAAGTATTCCTATGTATAATGCAGAGAACTGAACTGCACAAGAGTTCTTTCATATTGTGCGTCAACGATTTCACCTTGAGGACGGCCTTGTACTTCTGAATCCTCTCCAGTGGTTGCTGGAGGCAGGCATTGATGCTGCGTACAGGGGGGTCTGCAGGGTCTGCACTGGCTTGCTCTTTCTCAATGTACTCCTACAATGTAATGAAAGGGAGATTTTTAAAATTCAAATGATTATACTGATGCAGAGTCCCTTGGCAGTTGCACTAATGAATACAAAAGTAAGTTACCAATGAAATTACAGCTTTAACTAGGCTGGCAAAACAAATTACTTGCACACGGCATAATCCACAGTTCAGAAATAACAGCTCTGGTGTTACCTTGAAGAAGTGGTGGACGGCCTTGTCACTGACAACAGATTCAGCCTGACCTTGACCAACAAGATACTGGAGGTACTTCTCAAAGCCCTCCTTGTTCTTCAGGAAGCACATGGCTACATCATCGTCTGTCTCACAGTCGTTCAATTTTGGGAGGAATGCCCTAAAAACAATGATTGTGGGGAAATGAATGAATCGAAAATCTTACTGTAAATCTTACTCTCTTTTATTATATTTTTCTGAAAGAAGAATATTCTCTGGGTATGGAATACATGTTCTTTACTTTCTTTTTTCAAAAATCTAACTAAAATGACAAGTTGTCAAAGAGGTTAGCTCACTTGTGGTGGAAGGACTTGATATCATCAATGTTCCTGAATATGGCATCCTTCTGGCTGCTGACATCAGGCGGTGCATCAGGGCTATCTGCATGCTTCAGGTGATGGGAGGTAAAGAAGTCTACCTCTTTTACAAACTCTGATTCACTACTTATCAGGTCTTGGATCAGTTGGCTAGGGACATGAAATAACAGTTGGTTATGATTGTCCTTTAGTTCCATTATTTGCTAAGTGGGTGCAGATATGCTTTACTTACAATAATTTCCTCTTGTATTCACCCTCAGACACCTCCTCTACACTGGTCTCTGGAAGGTCACCTGTATCAGCAGAGAGCTGAAAGAATACACATTTTTAATTACTTAATGTTTAAAGGCCTCAAGAATTTAAAGTTTAGATGTTATGTTGGAGGATCATTAGCTGTAATTTTAAGACATACTTTGAGTTTCTTGTCAAGGTAGGCCGGTGAGACCCAGCCTTGGCGGGATGGTGTTGTTTTGGTGGGTTTAGTCCGGACTAACCATTTAAGTGGATGAGCCGAGTCCAAAACCTCAACATACTGTCCCACCTTTAGAGAGATGGATTCTTTGCATGCCATGGTGGGGTTGTAGTCGGCCGTTGCCACATAGATGTCAAACATCTGTTAAAAATATGAATACTAATGACATCACATGTGGTTTCACAAAATGTCATAACATTTTAATGCAGGAAGCTGTGTATTCTTGTACAATCTTGGGTCTATGGACATTCCTACTTCTACTTTTAAAGGCTTACACTTTTCTCCTTATTTCTCAAATTAAATTTTGTTATTGCTTACAAATACTAGCATTAGATCTCCTGCCTCTATTATCCAAGTTATAACAAGATCAAAGACCAGATAGGATAGGTATGAGCTTGTTGTGTGTAGTTAACTAATGTCAGGTTATTGCAAGTGAAATGTTTAAACTGTTGTGCACTGCTTTCATTTGGAGTCCTAGTTTTATTTTTAACTAAAGTAAAGAACAAATGTTTTATTTCAGGAATTGTTCTGTTATAGTTTAATGTTATGTTACTCTTTGAGGCAGTGTGAATTTGTTTTAATATTTTTCTGCCTCCACTTATGTTAATTAAATATAGTCTTAAAGGATAGATTCACATTTTTCATTCCCATATGAAACAAGTTTAGCTTGGTGTAATCACTGACCCTTTTGATATTGGCCATTAATGCACCCTTCCTAATACATTTCCAACGTAAGATATGGGGGACAACATCTACAATCCTCATTCTGTGCAAAAATGTATTTCAAAGTTTATCTGACGTTAATACAGGACTTCAGTGGTCTGAGTTCGACAGATTATTTTAATTATGTTCCAAATTCTCACCATTTTTTGTTACAAAATTCCCTCTTTGCGTTACTCTGCCTCCACCAGTTCAGCACAGAAAAGTTGTCTAAGAAAACACACAGACTGAATCTCATACTAAAAGTACTGAAATTTTGCCCATTTACAAACTTAGACTGCTTAAGCCTCATTTTAGCTACATTTTTACTGAGGACTGTGGATTTTGTCCCCTATCATGCCCATTAGGGAGGGAGCTCTGAATGACCAGTAAGAACAGGTTAAATTAATTTCAATTCAATTCAATATTATTTATATAGTGCAAAATCACAACAATAGTTATCTCATAGTGCTTTTCATAAAAGAGCAGGTCTAGACCGTACTCTGTGATAATATTTACAGAAACCCAACAATTCCCACCAAGAACAAGCACTAGGCTTGCTAAATGATTCCACCATGGAAAAACTATTTCAATGAACATATATGGGAATGTAAATATGTTTTTAAGACAGACTAAAATGTGAAACCTTTATTGTATGTAAAGGCAATGTACCATAATACTGAGTCAACATACAAATAACTTAAATTGGAACACTGCAGGGATATTGTGCCATTCTATGCATTGTACCGGATTTTTCTGGTCAGTCTGTGTAACATTCAGGTCTTCACCAGATTATATAGTGTTACCTGATGTAGGGTGATTTCATCATATCTATGACCAATACAAACATTGAGGTTTATAGTAAATCAAACAATTCTGGACAACAACATATCACACTGCAAACACTCACCTCTCCCCTAGCATCCCCCTCATCAGACTCAGAGGAGGAGTCAGCAATGAGGGAGGGAGGACGCGAGCGACCGTGATGAGGTGATGGAGAAGGGGTCTTGGTCTCGTCATCACTGTCAACACCTGGTACGCGTAATGAAGCTGGGGCATCAAGGGCGGAGGGAGGCAATCAGAGGAAGACAGGTCAGTTGTGCAAATAATATTGGAGCGGATCTTTTAAACTGTTATTGTTATACACCACAAAAACAGGATGTTACAGCAAAGTAAGGAATTATCATACTGTACTTTGCTTGAGATGAAAAGAAATCGGCTTTTTTGGCTTGTATTTGGTGGCAGTTATTAGTACACACTCCACTCATTTTCATCAGAGCTTGTTTCAAGCCATAACTGACTCTCTGCTGGCATCTACTGGTGCTTTATTTACTTGGTAATGTTCCTCAAAACATTTAAATCATTACCCTCTTATATCATTTTATATTTGACTTCTAAATAATTACATATTTATTTTAGATAAAAAAAGAAAACCCACAACAATCACTTCATTCTAAATGCTTTGCTATGACTGTGTTAGTATTGTGACAACATGCAAAAAAGCTACAGTACTTTTTATTTGAGCTCTCCTTATACATGTCAGTCTGTGAGCATGTATTTTTGGCTATACGTTGGTGAGACGTCAGAGTCATTTCAAAATCATTTTGAAATACATTTTCAAAACACAGGAGTGGTGATGCATAAGGAGGTATAAAGGGGCCACAGACAGCATGAAAAGGGAAAAGATGTTTTAACAATAATAATTCTGACAGAAATTAGTAGACTGATGTGACTGCACCTTATTATATAAAACATGTTTTGTATATTTATGTAAAAGGAAATGTAAATCAAAATTGTTTCCACATGTCATGTACCGAGCCATCTAATGCTATAAAAATACCTCAATGGGAAAATGTATATAGTGAAACTGATGTACTTGGGATACATACTGGTAGTTTTGGGCCAAGATTTCATCCACTGGAGCACTTCATGATTCTGTAAGCTGTCTGAATAACAAATTCATGATTGGATGAGCATGTAATTGGTTGGGTGGCTAAACTGATGGATGTAAAAGTGGTAAAGAAATTATTTATGTATGGATCAATGAGAGGTTTTAAGTTATATACTCATGGATAAAGCAAAACATGCTGAAAAACAAGCACCAGAAGAGCAGAAAAGGACTTTGTCAAATTTGGTTTCAACCTCAAATCTATTGTAAAGTGTATTTTAATTTAAGAATTGAAGTGCTAAAGGATTCAGATTAAACAACATGTTTCAACTGAATTCAACAAAACCTGACAAGGATTTATCAAAACACTTAAGAGAAGCACTTTATCCAGCATAACATGTGGATTATTGGTATGCATTCTGCCTCTTTAGCATGAGCAACTAGCAAAACCGTTAATGGCAAAATGCAGTAAAGGGACAGGCAAACTTCAGATTTTTATTTCAACCACAGATAACACCGGGTGATTTAAAAGATAGGGTCTCCCTCTGGATAGTGTCCACAACATTTAAATCCCCAGTATGTTATCTGGTCACAGTTAGCTTGCTGCATGTGTGATGGCGACGTAATTAATCATTTCACACTCAATAAAACAATTTGTGATTCTGTTTCATCCCATGTTAACACCAGGGTTAACCAGTGTTAGATATTAGTTGTACATGCAGGTTGAGTGTTTACTGTTTACAGATCGCCGATGTCCCACAGCTACCTAGCTTCCTAGCTAGCCTCTGTTTCTTCCTGTGTTGTTGTTTTTTTGTCCATATTCTAAGCTAAAGGGGCTATCTACTACTTTACTGGACATTAAATCTGAACACCTAATTCAAGTTACCAAGCTAAAATAATTTATTCAACAACATATTCCATTACTTTAAGCCATTGCCTCACTGTCAAAGCTTCATGGGGGCTGCAGTCACATGCTAACAAATTGATTGCTTTATCTTGTTTAAACTAGACTTCAATAAGCCTGATTATGTTACTCTAAGCTTAGTTTTCGGTAAACACTTAAAATTTAATCAACTGTTTAGGTTAACTCAAGTGAGGCCTTTTTTTGCTTCCTTTCGGGAAGTCCCCCAGCACATATTCTAACATTGTTCAATATGTCTGATAGAAAGTACTGTGCCGTAACTAGAATTTCTTTGTAAATGAATGCATAGACAAAACAGTCAATAATATATACTTACCTTGGGTAATTTTTGCTGATACCATTTCAGTGATCTGGGAGGTGAGTTTCATGAGGAATTCCTCTGTACCTACTTCACCAAGGTAGGGTATTTTAGCCTCTTTAGACAAACAACGAGGAAATAACATCATAAATAGCATAGTATTTATGACTACAAAGAAGTTATGTTGCTATATAAATATCAAAGATTATTAGGGTATAAAATGATGTCTCACCTCTGCTGGCCTCACCTTCTGGAGAACTAACTGTAATTCCAAGAACCCTGAGGAGAAATAAATGTTCAATTTTGTTTTCACATATTTGCATTTATTTACTGTGCAGTATATGTGTGTCTTATTTATGTGCAATGTCATTATGAATCTCAAACCTTAAAGAAAGACTTACTCTGAAGCTTTGGTCTCTTTCTTTTGTTGTGGTGCTGGGGGAGGAGGGGCACATTTATACAGTTACAATCAAACCTGACACAAAGCATCAATAACATCAACAACTTCTATATAAAATTCCTGGATGACTTTGCTTTCCTTACTGTCATCGACCTCGAGGTGAGCAGTGCAGATGGACTGTCCTGCCCTATTTGTAGCAATACAGGTGTAGGCCCCAGTGTATTCTGTGCCCACGTCCATCAAGATGAGGCTGTGTTGGCACCCTGAGCTTGCTATTTTGTATCCCTTGGTATCTGGCTTGATCCACAGGACATCTTCCATTGATTCCTCCTTTAGCCAGGAGACCATAGGAGTGGGAGACCCTGAAAAAGTAATAAGTAATAATAATATATATATATATTATATATATATATATATATATATATATATATATACATACATACAGGAAAAATCCCATTGAGACACAGTCTCTTTTACAAAGGAGTCCTATATAGCACAAGTAAAACACAATTTTTCAACCATGAGTTGAAAAACAATACATTATGTAAATTTAAATACAATACAAATTTACACAAAGTTTACAAGATATTTACATAGACAAAAATTCAATGAATTTAAATATGTTTTTTGTAGAGCACATTGAGCTGCACCTGTGTGAGAAATTTTAAGTTAATCAGACCGCTACGCGGTATGAACCCTAATAAATAAGTAATTTTTAACAGAAGATGAAAGGGACTTTCTCCAATCACACTGTAAAGTAAACAAACCTTCTACTCTGTAAAGTAAACAAACCTTCTACTCTGTAAAGTAAACAAACCTTCTACTCTGTAAAGTAAACAAACCTTCTACTCTGACAGACAGAGTGATGCTGGCTCCTTGTTTCACCTTCCTGTTGCTGAACCTTTCAAGGAAGCGGGGTGGTACCAGGGGCTCTTTGGGGTCTGTAAAAATATAGTGTAAAACAGAAGCACAGTCACTTATAACATACTATTCTATCTACTAAAGTCATTTTTGTAGGTTATCTGTCAAATTACCTCTTTTATCTTGTGGCATAATCTCCCCTGGATCTGTTGCAAAATAAAGTTGTATAAAATAAAAATGTATCTGTAAACATCTTAACTGCAATTTTAAAGCTCAAAGTAATGTAAAATACAACAATTCATGCCTTTTTTGCATAGGCAACTATTAAGGCATTTGCACACATACTCAGAACTATCAGTCGGGCGGACGAGTAAGCAGAACCAGCTACATTGCTGATGTAAGCAGAGTACTCCCCCATATCCTCTCTCTTCACCCGCAGGATGTCCAAGCCATGAAAGTCTCTCTCTGAGTGCAACAGAATCCTTTCTGAAGGTCGCAGAGGGTGGCCATCTTTGAACCAGTATACTCTGGGTTTGGGGAAACCTGGAATTTTAACTTAACTTTAGTCATAGGAACTTGTCTATGAGTTGACTTCATTTATAAGACAGTTACAATCAGCTGTTATGTGGTTAATAAACTTACCCTTTACTTTGAGCTTCATCTTAGCAATAGGTGAACCTGGACTGACATGAACATCACGAAGCTCCTCCACAACTTGTGGTAGCTGATCATCTTCGGCTACAGACTCAAATGTCTCAGTTTCCCTGCACGGGGAAAGCAGAGCAGTCCACCTCAACAATGCAGTTTTTAAAAACAATCTTATAAAATATATGCAATATATTTTAAAACACCCAAAAACAATATTCATAGTAAGTTCACCTGGACACGTAGCCCTTGGCACTGACATAGGAAGATGTCTCAGTGGCATCAGCGGCAGTGTCATAATCAGAGCTGCAAGACACTGATGGAAAATATGATGTACAGCATTATACAGTCATCAGTGAAATCAGGATGATTGTGTCATTTTGTTAGCCTTGTGAGAACCAGTTTTAGACTATGTCTACACTAAGCCCCATATATAGCAAAAATTCGATCTATGTTAACTTTTAAGGACACCGAGACCATTTTACACGCCTTCATCTCATCACACCTGGATTATTGCAACAGCCTTTTCACTTGTTTAACCCAAAAATCTACTGATCGACTCCAGACTGTCCAGAACTCGGCTGCCAGGCTTTTAACCAGAACAAAGAAATATGACCACATTACTCCTATTTTAGCTTCATTACACTGGCTGCCAGTATGTTTTAGAATTGATTTGAATTAAAAATTTTATTGATCACTTTTAAAGCTCTTCATGGCCTCGTGCCTTGTTGTATTTCTGACCTTTTAGTCCCATACCCACCAGCACGTACCTTGAGATCCTCGGGCAGAGGTCTGTTGTCTGTTCCAGAGTCTCGACTGAAAACTAAAGGGGACAGAGCGTTTGCTGTCAGGGCCCCGAGGCTCTGGAACAGCCTGCCCGAGGAAATCAGGTCAGCTGAGTCAGTGAACTATTTTAAGTCCCTTCTTAAAACATACTTTTATAGGAGAGCCTTTCCCGATCTTATTTGACTTTATTTTATCCCTTTTATTTTATTCTACTTTACTTATTTTATATTTATCTTAAACATGTCTTTTCAATGTTTTCCTGCTTTTATCTTGTATTGTTTTTGTATTATTGTCTTTTGGGTATTATTGTCTTTACTCTTGTTAAAGCACTTTGTAACTTGTTTTTGAAAAGTGCTCTACAAATAAAGATTATTATTATTATTATTAAGCCATCTAATTTTAGCTAGCATTTCCAGGATACTCTTACTTGATCAATCAGGTGTGTTCAATCCAATCAATTGCTTTTTTGTTGGAAATGTATTATTTTTGTAGATCTACTTTTCATACAATCATTACTTCAGTTTCAGTTATTCATTTCCTACATTTCCATGTGTTTCTGATCAACTCAAAAAGAATTCAATTTCAATAATTCATGTGTAGTGGGAGAGAGTGAAAGATGTGGATGTGGACAACGGTAAAAAGAAATTGAGATTTGTGAGTTGAGATGCGTATTGCCTATTGAGACTATTGCAGCAGTTTATGGAAAAATGGTGATATTTTGTATGGATTTTCCTTGTATTACTGCTAAATATAGATAAAAATGGTAAATTTAAAGGACTGACAACACAGTCCTGATATTTCTACTGTACAAGCTATAGCTGTGCTCAACATGTCAAACTCAAGATGTCAGATCGTGTACATTTTGGCCAATTTTCTACAAAAGAAAACTGTGCCACTGAACCAAAAAAATACATATAAAGACATCACCAACAGCTGTTTTTAACAATGCTACCAGCTTTCAGGGCTGGTCTTCACTCAGAAGAAATGTAGTCAAGCCAAGGTACTCACAAGTAGTTGTAAAACAAACACGTGTGTGTGCATGTAATGTATGTTTACTTACTGTCAACCCTGAGTTCAGCCTTAGTGGCTGTGATGCCGCTGCTGTTCTCAGCTGTGCAACGATAGACACCCATGTCAGTGGGCAGCACAGTGGTAATGATGAGTTGGTGGCATCCCTCCTGGTCTTCATTGATCATGTAATGGTCATTCTCCTCCAGCAATTTGCCATCCTTATACCAGCGAACGGTGGGAGGGGGCTTGCCAATCACAACACAGTCAAAGCTGACTGGATAACCGTCTGGAACATCCTGACTTTGTAGCTCTGTCAAGAAGACTGGGGCAGCTGGGTAACAGGAGCAAATAATCCCAAATTTAAAAAGTAAAAATTACATAAAATATAAAATACATAAAATATTTGAGATATATAAATGTGCTGGTTGGACTTAAGTATCAAGAACAATAGTAAGCACATAACAGTACAGAAAGCTGAATGTGGAAAACATGGGACTTACATATCACATTATGCGCATCACTTTTATGTTGTAGATAAACATTCTTCAACAACTAAAGGATGTGCATATGTGTTTAAGTGAACACTTGAACAAGTGATCAAGTTAATTGTTCTAATCTGGTTGTCCTCCTTTGTATAATAAAGAAGACTGTACATGACATTGTCACAATATTGATGTTTTTAAAAGTTATCTATTGATGATTTGTATAAAACATTGTGTTATAATGATCCTAATAGCCTCTCATAGGTTTCTTACCCGGGGCTCCAGTCAGCAATGCAGGAGGCTGTCTATCTTGTGTGGGGGTCTGTGTGCCATCTTGTGTGTAGCCCATTTTTCTAATTCGCAGCTCCACTTTAAGAGGCCCTGCCTCCAAGATGGTGGTCTCCACTGGAACTCCATGGATTGTAAACATCTCCTGGAACCTTTTTGAGGCAACCTCAGCCTCTGCCCACGAGTCAAAGCGAATGTAGATGTAACTGTCATCCTCCCGGTAAGAGTGGGGATCTGGGGGACGCAGGTCACCTTCATCTGCGCTGACAAATGGTTCTTCCTCAACATCTGGTGGGAGACTAGTACGCAAGAGGCGACGGAGACGTCTGCTCGCCTGCCTCAGTGACTCATCCATTTCACTACCTGAAGAGCTCTCAGCCTCGCTGTCGGCACTGTAGCCTACAGTGAGAGGCCGTCGCCCAGATGATTCTCTCACCGTTCCTACTGTGACCTTAGCACTGTGAGAAGAGACTCCAAACTTGTTGGTGACCTCACAAGTGTAAACCCCAGTATCCTTTGTGGTGATGGCAGTGATGACCAGTGAGCAAGTACCATCATTGTAGATATCAATATGGTGGTGCTTTCCATCCGCCAGTGGTTCTCCATCCTTCAGCCACTGCACCTTATCAGGTTTACCTTCTGCTACACATTCAAGATGTATGGTGCCATTAGGTTCTTTGGTCTGATCTTTGAAGGTCTCTTTAAAGACAGGGCGCATGTCCTTGCGGGCTTTATAGCCCTTGAAAGCAGCTTGAATCTTAATGGCAGCCTCTCTGAGCTCAGGCTCATCCTCTTTACTGATCTCCATGATGTTAGTCTCCTCTGTAGACACCTGTTTTTCATCTGTCTGCTGAATTGTGGTTGCTTTCACTTCAGTCTGCTGCACTGTTCTCTGCTCTGCCATCTGGAAATGTGCGAAGAACCTCTCAGTGGTCAGAGTCTCTGTCTCATTGGCCGCTGTGACTGTCGACTTGCTGCTCTTCTTAAGGTACGATACAAGCGTTGAACCCCCAGAAACAGACTCATCCTCAGAGCTGGTGAACAAATTAGACTCTGTCTGCTTCTTAGACACAATGGCTTTCTCCTTCTCTCCTGATTTTATTTCCACTTTCTCTGATGCCTTCAGCTCCTTCTGTCCTGATTTGTTTTTACCACCTTTACCGTCCTCCTCAGGTTGTTCAGAGATAGAGTCAAGAGTAGGCTCTCGACTCATGCGCCGTTTCTTTGCCGATTCCTCCCAAAGCTCATGGACATCACCTTCTTCAGCAGCTTCTGGAGGCAGACTGGGCTGCCCCAGTATCTCAGTCTCTGCCTGGTTTGCCTCTATGCCTATAACCACAGTGGAGTATTCAATGTTACTTTGTTGTTTTTAGCACAAAACCTATTTAACCGATGCTTATAAAACTCTACATATTGCAACTTAGCATGATGGACATTCATAAAGGCTTCAAGTAGAGGTGTGAACCACAGAAGAACTTGCAGGATAAATACAAACCTAACAAAGTCTGCATGGGTGCATCCGTGTAACAATGAGAAAACAAACATCATATATTAGCCTAAAAAACCTCTAAATGTCTCTACACTGCTTCTATCATATAATCTGGTAAAACACTGCAAATAAAGCTGTCTATATATGACAACAAAATAAATGTTATAAGTCCAGTTGCCCTTGATTTTAACCTTCGTTGGATAACTATGACCTGGATGACTGAGAATTTATAACAATAAATGTTATAGTTTAGTTTTTCAGTACACTATTTCATGAACTAAACCACACATCCACTCACCAAGCTGCACTGTCTGAGGCAACTCAACAGGCTCTCCAGTCCCAGCTCTGTTGATGGCTGCCACTCTAAACCTGTAGCCACTCCCTGAAATGAGATTTTCAACCACAAACTCTGTGTTGCACACAGGTTCAGAATGACATGGAAGCCAGAGGGCACTATCTACCAGCCGCATCTCCACCCTGTAGCCCAGAATGGGACTTCCTCCATCATGCAGAGGAGTGAACCAAGAGAGGGTGACAGAATGTTCAGTCTTACTGAGGACCTCTGGGTCCTCTGGAGGATCAGGTACAGCTGTTGGGATGGAAAGAAGCAGGAGTTAGATGCTTTTATGAACATCAAGAGCTACACAGATTGCAATGGTTATCTGTCATGTTTTCAGTAGTATCAAGACCACCTCTCCATCCTGTTACATGTAGAGTTGCAGGTAGAGAGATAGATCTAAAAACTAAATTCTTCAAAATAAAGATACAAAAAAGTGAAAGATAAGAAAAACTTTTTTTATCAAACACTTACTGATGATGGTGAGCTTAGCCAAAGAGAGAGCATCTCTAGCAGCAAATGTAATTTCCTGCTGTGGCAAAAGAGGTGCCTGTCTCAGGACAAGGCGATATGAACAGCCATCAGCCCTCATAGCCCAGAGGTCACTGGACTTGATCTCTACTCCATTAGCATACCAGGCTACTTCTGCCACAGGGACAGGCTCGGTTAGCTCAACACAAAACACAACCTTCTCTCCCACTGCAGCCACCTTGTCCTCAAGACCCTTCACAACGTCCAGCTGCCAGCCTTATGAGAGAAAATCCACAGAATCAAATATAAAACTTTGTCAGTTAAAGTTTATTTGTATTGTTTGAGTGTATAATTCAGGCAAGACAATGCTATGAAAACCACTTCAAAGTCTTGTGTCGTTCAAATGGACTCACCTTTGACCGAGAGTTGGGCAGATGTGGATGCTGTGCCAGCTCTGAAGCTCACAGTGCAACTGTCTTTAACATGCAACTCTTTCAGCAGGAGCAGATGCCGACGACCACTCTCAAATGACACAATCTCGGCATTAGGGGATTCCTTTACTGGTTTCCCATCAAGAAGCCATTGGCAATCCTTGCTCTCAGGACGAGAAAAGGGCACACTCAAACAGCGCCTCACCTCCATCAAAGGTTTCTACATTCTCCAGGCCCTGGACAATGTCAATGGATTTGACTGTAGAAAACAAATGGAAAAAGAAAGAACAATCAAAAATTATTTTAAGACGACTGCAGGAAGTCACTTAATTTTGGGATTTGTCAACAAATGTCAACAAATGGCACGAACTGTGGTGATCAGCAAGTGATCCGTTTAATTGGCCACATAACTGTGAGATATGACGGAACAGAGGAGACTCCCTAAAGGTTGGTGCTATTTCCATGTGGAGGGAAGCTCACCTTCCACATGAAGTGAAGCAACCACGTAGGTTCCCCCTGCCTCACAGGAGTATGTGCCCCTGTCCTCAGCGGACACATGGCTAATGCACAAGCGAGCGACATTCCAGTCCTGCTCCACTACCACCCTTCGGCCATCAGGCTGCAAGGGCTGCCCGTCTTTCTTCCACTGAGCCTTGACCGGCCTTGAGTACTGGCAGATGAACTCAGCCGGTTGGTTTTCGACCACCCGAAGGTCCTCCATCTCGCTCACCACTTCAACTGTGGGATCTGAGGTTGGGGTCAGGTGTCATAGGGTCAGGGCTTGGCCATTAGATATAAGGATAAGTGCAGGGCATGCCGAATGACATATGGGCTTTATAACCCCTAAAAGCATGTTGAAGTGATGTTCACATGTGAGTGTATAGAAATTGTATGTGTAATGGTGCTGTATCTTAAAGTATATTTCACTGTCCACTTCAACCACTGTATTGTCCTATGTGAGCTCTCAAAATGAACAACAGGGGTTCAGAAAGCCCAGCCGTCAAGGTTCAGGGTAATGGTCACAATCAAGCGCCAAGAACATTTGGCAGCTGATGAGCGAGGAAGGGTGGATAAGTGGAGTAACAAGGTAGGTGTAGGTGGTTAGCTGTTTTAGTGCTTGAAGGTTAGGGGCAGGGCTTAGTGGGATGGGATAGTGGATGTCAATGGAATGTGAGTATTCAACAGCAGCCGGCCTGCATGGATGGGTGGAGCAGCACTTTGCTAACACAACATTTCTGTTGTCAATAAACAATAAAAGGTGGAAGAAACCTTAACATCACCAAAACCAACCCCACTGAATATCATCCACCATCTCCAATCATCAAATTTGTATTATACATCATTTACATCATCAAGGGACTCGTACACTTAGGGCTGCACATTTAACCACATAATAATCACGATCATGCCTTTGGCTCCAACCATCAAACTTGAACAGGTGCCACTTGACAGTTTAAGAGTGCATGGTCTGAAACAACAACTTGAGGGATCCCACATCACAGCTGCACATTTCTAGCATTTTGTGATTACCTAATGTCTTCTTAACAAAACACAGTGGTGTCTGCAGGGCAGTCAAGAGCACTTTCACTACATAGTTAAAGGGGATTTACTCAAAATGTTTCTTTTTTAACAGAGGTTTTGAGTGCATCTCTGAATTGCAGCTGACAACAAATGCAAATACTGACGATCTGCCAGTGACAGACAGTGCCAAATACGTCATTCACAATCCACAAATGTACCTCCAGTCTGTGATACTTTTAAGAAAATACTTGGCCAGAGCCAGAGATGCTATCATATGGAATCAAGCCAGTTAAGTGCAGTGTGTCTCCCCTTTAAGTTTTGGCAGATTCAATTTTGGATGGAAAGGCAGAGGGAATTCTGAATGGGTTGCGACGTAGACTTGAATCTGGGATAGAAATGTAAGAGGTAATTTATACGAACCAAATGACAGTGGTTCATGTACACAGAACAGGAAAAAACAACAGCAGGGAGATGTCAGTGAAGCATTGCAGTGAAGCAGCAACACCTGGTTAGCTACCAGGACTGCTAGTCTCAAAAATAGAGACTGTGGAGCAATCTTTTTTTGTCAGATTAGTTCTGCCTGGGTGCAATCCCAGCCTTGAATTTGTTACATACACAACTTCTGCATACTCCAACAGACACAAAACAACATTTGTAATAGCATGTCATTTTCTGTTTAACGCTAGCAGACGTTAGCCATTAACAGTAGCAGATTTTTCCTAATTACATAAATGTAGAGCCATGGTTACATTTGTGCACCTGCTATGTGTGCTAATAGTCATTGACTGTAGCTGGGCAATTTTACGGCACCTGGGCAGCAGACTTTCATTCACGCTCACATTCACACGTATGGACACATATTAGAGCCACCTGTTAACCTAACTTGCATGTCTTTGAACTGGTCCTACAGAGATGGAGAAAACATGCAAACTCCACAAAGAAAGGTTTGAACCCAGTGCTAACCACTGCACCACCAAGCTGCCCGTGAGTAGACATATTAAATCAATCCCATTCCTCCTTCAGTATGTCCCATTGTATTTATATTTCTTTATATTTGTATTAGAGCAAGCTTTACAATTCAACAGTAGAAAATTAGAGGGGCATTAGAGGTAGCTTTTAAAAGTGTTCAAGAGCTATAAAACTAGTATGTTCACAAAGATGGACCAATAGTAATAGATAATCAGGATCTTAAAAGTGAGAAACATAATCGTGATTATCATTGATTTATCATTTCAGCAGCCCAATATATGGCACATAGGAACGATTCAGAGAGAATTTAGATAAGGAGCAGAAATAAAATGAGCCTAATTAATATTTTTTATTAAAATTAATCTGGCTAGTTTTAGATGTTTGGGCCTAGAATTTACTCTGGCCTGCTCTAATAAAACTTTGCTGTGGTGCTGCACCCAGTTGTATGTTTTGGTTGTTTCAAAGCATACAGCATGGAAAACTTATTATTATTATTGATAAAATTAGAAACAATGCTACTCATGCAATATGTATGCACTGAAATGTAAATATCCACTATTAATCTATCCATGACTTTTTATTGAACCCTGCAGAAAACATAATAATTCATGATACATTAACTCATCTTCTTCAAGAAGAATTGGGTCAAATGAATTTGGAAAATGCCAATCATTAAGGAGAAAACAGAGGACTTGTTGTGGTAAATATTGCCATTTGTTAAATTGGCACAACCTTGGAATTAAAATAAGCTACAAATGTTGTGTTTGTAAAATTTAAAATGTAGAATAAAAATTCTGCAGGGTCTAAAAAAAGACTTCTCTAAGCCTCTATAACGTGATACCTTTGACTAAGAGCTTGGCTGTTGATGTTAAACTGCCAGCTTTGAATGTGACAGTGCCAGAGTCATCCGTGGCAAGGTTCTTTAAGGTGAGGGTGTGGATGTAGCCCTGGCTCAGCCCTATCTCGCTAAAGGGGCTGTTCTCTAGCAAGGTGCCATCCAGCCACCACTGCACCTTGCCAGGTGCCCTACCAGACAGCTGGCAGGAGAAGGTTGCCCACTCCCCAACAAAGACGTCGGTGGTCTTAAGACCACACACAATGAAGACTTCTTTCACTGTTGAGCGAAAAATACACATATGTATATACTGAGCCTCTAACTTACTCATAATCATCAATATATCAACTCGACAGAGCAACATATCGTACAGACAGAAAATTACACCATGCAACATCACAGTTTACAAGGATGTAGGCCAATCCTAAAAACAAACCTACTATTCTATTTGTTAGAATAAATTGTTAGCCTTAAGTAAACTCGAGGACAGATGCAACAGTATTGAGTATAGGCTACCTTGCACCACCAAAGAAGCTGTAGTGAGCTGGTCTCCTGCGTCACAGGTGTAGTAGCCACTGTCTTCAGGCTCCAGGTTCCGTATACAGAGTTCTTGAACGCACCCTTCCTTCCTCATCTCATACTTCTTACCGTGCGGGAGGATCATGCCTCCTTTCCTCCACTCAACAAGAACACCTGGCTTAGACAGCTCACAGCGCAGGATAATATCATCACCCTCTACAGCATCTTGGTTAATGAGCTCTTTGCGGAAGACCGCTGGGGCACCTGGTGAGAGTTTAAAGTGGGAAAGTTTTGCATCAGATGTTGAGATGGAAAGCTTGGCATCAGATAGTTGAGATGACAAGACAAACATCTCTGAGGGACAAAAGTTGATGCCAGACTGGGTGTGAGGTTGAAGAAACTGGAAGTTCAAGAATATGTCAGTTGTTCATCTCAATCCTATCTTGGTCCACATTCTGGAATCTGATCAACAGGAAAGAGACTTTTTTAGAGGTGGCATCGTTCTTTACCTTCCACTGTCAAGGTGACGTCACACTGTACATCTCCAGTGTCACAGGTGTACGTTCCTGAATCGTCAGGCACCAGGTTGTGGATACGAAGCTGGTGGGATGCGCCGTTGTTCCTCAGGTCATACTTCAGACCTGCTTGGATGGCCACATTGTTTCTGTTCCAGGTAACAGTGGCCTTGGGGTCAGAGATGGTGCAGGCCAGCGTGACAGTTTCACCCTCTAATGCCACAGTGTTGTGTGGCTTCTCTAGTATTAGCACTGGAAGTATGGGAAACCCGAAACTAGATTTAATAGTTGTAGCATTTATATGCAGTCTTTTGCTTTTCTCTTCCTTTTACGGCCTTGGCATAACTAATTTCAAAGCTATCAACATAAACACACACATGCATGCAGTGACTATTATATGCTATCACAAATTTGACCGCATAATATATAAAGATCAGACAATTTTATCAGAAATAGTTGATATACATCATAAAGAAACTAAACTATGAATTGTAACATTTGATAAATTAAGTATTGAAGACAATCCATCTCTCGAGAAACACTTGAGTGGTAATATTTGTGTTAGCATTTTTTTAGAGCAAACACTAAATGCAAAGAATGGAAAACACATCTAAAAGGTAGGATGTTGAAGAGGATGGTGCCAGCAGATTTCCATTTGCCAAGACAAAGCTGTTTGGTGGTCGATGGGGATGGATGTGAGGAGTAAAAATCTCTAATGACCACGTCACCTCCTTTACCTTTGGGTTTCTCCTCCACCAGAAGACAGGCCACACTTTTCTCTTCTCCCACTACGAAGACAACATCCCCTGATTCATCTGTGGTTACCATCTTCAGGACCAAACGGTGCACTCTGCCCTGGCTGCTCATTTGATTCAGATCATTATTTTGGAGGAGGTTGTCTCCGAGCCACCATTCCCCGTTTGTCACGCTGGAGTGTGACAACTCGACCTCAAAGACGGCATCCTGCCCAGTGGTCACAGTAATATCGCAGAGTTCTCTGATGATGCGCACATGCTCTGAGGGTGAATGGGATGGTGGGAGGTCAGTGATCAGATCACAGCAGAGCTTCCAGAAGGCATCAGTAGGAGGGTGTATCCATGACCAAGAATCTCATTTAAAGAATTACTTAATACTTCATGCCTCAAGTTTGATCTCAGGATGGCTTTACTACTCTGGCATGTACCATTCTAATGACAACTAATAGGCAATCTACAGAATTTTGCAGAAAATACTACACTAAACTACACCATAATCCAAATTGAACAAGCCTGAATTAAAACCAATTCACTCCATCTGTAATTTGATGACTCACAACACATATCAAGAGGGAAAATTGTGTAGTCGTTCTCAGATAATTAAGTACAACTCAGACTACATTCAAACAAAGACATCACACTTCTCAAACAATAGACAGATAGATAGATAGACAGACAGACAGACAGACAGAGAGATAGATAGATAGATCTTAAAACATACTTTTATAGGAGAGCCTTACCCGATCTTATTTGACTTTATTTTATCCCTTTTATTTTATTGTATTTTACTAATTTTATATAAATTTTTCATGCTCTTATCTTGTTTTTTTTTGTATTATTCTTTACACTTGTTAAAGCACTTTGTAACTTTTTTTGAAAAGTGCTCTACAAATAAGGATTATTATTATATTATTATTATAGATAGATAGATAGATAGACAGATAGGTAAATAGGTAGATAGATAGATTCCAGCACTTATTAATGTGATGGATTAATATAAAAATGAACTTCAGGGAGGATGAAGACAAGAGGAGACACCAGACATCGATGAGATGAAGTGGTGCTCTATTACCTTTCACAGTCAGGGAAGCGGTACTTCTCTTGTCCCCTGTATCACAGGTATATTCTCCACTATCATTCACATTCAGCTTGTGTATGACCAGGGCGTGAATGGTAGCTCTCTGCTCCATACTGTACTTTTCCCCATTGGTGAGTATGGTTGAGCCCTTCAGCCAGGTCACCTTGCAGTCAGGGGTGGATGTCTCGCAGTACAGGGTGGCCTTGTCTCCTTCAGTGGCCTCTTGGCTTTCTAGCTCCTTGTTGAATAGTACAGGTGCAGCTGCCACAAAGACCATTATTAATTAGGATGAATGATTAAGAAATTGTCTTGGGTAAACACGGCCACCACAAAACACATTCAAAAGCTACATTATTTATAGTCACAATCATACCAATTCCAAACAAACGAGACCGAGCTTGAAAATAACAGGTAAGTCACAGGTTTATCTTCAGTCTCAACCACTTCAGAGTTTAAGGAAAAACACTGAATTAATACAGAACACTGACTGAAAAAACTAAAATTCATAAAGTCATGTTCATGGACAAATAACCTTTTAAAAATACTATGGAATATGGAGGATCATTAAATAGCCGAGCTGTACTGTTTAGTGTTTGTCTGTGAGTGGCATAACACAACACGCTGGATTTCAAGAGTGCCAAGATAAAATACAAATACAACGACATGCAACAAATTTCCCCAAAAGGACTCAACTTTTGGAAGTTGTGGTGTTTTTTCAAATAAAATAAAGTGTACAGCGCAGAAAACTTGCTGTAAACAGAAATTACAAGTAACATCATTAGTAGCATGACCAATATGTATAAGTTGAATACTAAAATTGAAGTTAAAAAGGAAATGTTGTTAGTTCAACGGACAGAGGAGTGAACTTGTATATACTTTAGAAATATGACAAAATATGCAGTAAAGTGCAGACGTGATACAAATACGCAAGTGAGATGAATGGATAACAAGACAGTTTAAAGTGAAAAGGAAATCACAAGCATCCATGTTTTTGGATGCTTTTAAAGACAGAGGGAAGGTGTCGCACAGGGAAGATGTTATTGTCAAATGAACAGAAGAAGTCCAAATGTTACTCTAGAAGCAAAATGGAAAGTATTCATTCTCATCCTAAGAGATAAGATGCATCATATTTCACTTACCTCTGACAGTCAGAGAAGCAGTGGAAGTGTGGCTTCCCACTGTGAAAGTGACAGTTCCTGAGTCAGCAGCAGTGACACCTCTGAGTGTGAGGCTGTGTACCCGGCCTTCGGTCTTGATCAAGTTCATTTCATTATTCTGTAGTGGGACGTCCTGGAGTTTCCACTGGGCCAGAGGAGCCTCCTCATGAGAAACCAGACATTCAAAGCAGACATCTTCGCCCTCGTATACAACGCAGCTCTCCAAGAATTTCAGTATGTTAACCTCGACCTCTGTTTGACAAATACATTGCAGCAGAATAGTCACATATTTGTTATCTGAAGTGAGCACGTGCTTGACAAAGATTTAGTTCAAGTTGTACAGATTGTGATCAAAGTGTGATTAAATATATGTTACTGTGAGTGCCAAGTGAAGAAAAACAGTATAGGGTGTGTTAATATTTGTGAAGAGAGACCAGAGACAAGCACAAAGGATGAGATCAGATCAGTGATGAAGCTCAACAGAAAAGTGTGTGAATAACTACGAGTGCTTTGAAAACAGGGAACTGCAAAGCAAGAACACACATGGGATGAAAATTAATACTACATTAAATGCAGTCAAGAAGACAAACGCAAACAGGATGTCCAGATGAAAGGTTGAGGCACTTCATGCTCAAGTGTTGGAGTGATGTGGGACACGCAGAAAGACCTAAGCCCAGAGGGTGCATCAAAATGACAGTCTTAAATAGACAGCTCCTACCCTGCACAGTGAGGACAGCCGAAGTCCTCTGGCTGCCTGTATCACAGGAGTATCCTCCTGAGTCAGCTCCCTGCAGTTTATAGATGACAAGCTCGACTATGGCTCCTTCCTGTTTCAGGTGATACTTGCTGCTGGATGCCAGCACCCTGTCACCATGCCTCCAGACCACACTGGCTCCTGGCTTTGTGGTCTCACAGCGAAGACTAACACTCTCCCCTGCATTTATTTCAAGGTTCTGCAGCTGGGTTTTGAAAAGGACGGGCTTAGCTGCAGGGGAGGAAATCAGGAGAAAAAATTAAGGACAACCGAGATATAGATGTCATTTTTTATAGCCCGCCAAACGAACAAAAACTGCTGTGTTAAGTCAAAAAGTAAGTAGCAGAGGTGGAAGTGAGTCATACATGTCAATGTCACTTAAACCTTAAATCCTGATAAATCCCAAATTTGATTTGTTTCTCTCAGATGATAGTCAGCGACCAACATTAACTAACATTAAGGTAAAAAAAAAGGTCATACTATTAATATAGAATAACTTATATTCATTTTATTTATTTATTCATTTATAGTAAAAAAAAAAACCTTTCTTAGACAAGAAAGTTTCCAATAAATTCATTTGCAATCTCCACTACTAACAAAAGGTTTTAGCAGTCGTACCCTTCACAGCTAGTTGTGCGGTGCTTTGACGGTGACCAGTGTCACATGTATAAGTCCCAGAATCCTCTGGGTCTACATCATGGATTATTAGCGTAGCAAGGTGTCCTGTTTGTCTAATTTCATACTTGGCACAAGGACAAAGGCCAAGTTCTCCTTTCCTCCACTCCAAAGGAACACCAGGTTTAGAAAGCTCACAGTGCAGCGTTACACTGTCCCCCTCATCAGCCGTTTGGCTTCCCAGCTCTTTTGTGAAAATAATTTGGGCAGCTGGTGAATGAAAACAAATAACCAGATTTTCATCTGCAGTACAAGGTCAAGAATGGCAATGAAGAAATATAGTGTGATATAAAAGACTGGATTAAAAGATGCAACGAAAGACTTGATGGCAGAAGACAGCATGAAACGATGACTAGGTCTCCATCGTACCATTTACTACAAGAGAGGCTGAGCTTATTGTGTCCTCTGAACAGCATGAGTAGCTTCCTGTGTCTCCAGGTCTTAAATCAAAAATCTGTAGCTCATAAGTGAATCCAGTTTGTTTCATTTGGTACTTTTCTCCACAAGTTAGGACTTGAGTTTCCTTCTTCCACTCGACGTGGAGTCCAGGTTTAGAAAGCTCACAGTGCAGCGTGACACTGCCTCCCTCCTCAGCCTCCTGGCTCTCCAGGTCTCGATTAACTATGACTGGAAGAACTGGGGAATGAATTAATTACATAAGTGGTGATGTGTATTGTTGCAACTCGTTTTCAAATTAGACACCAGATGAAGACTACAGTAAGCTGTTTAAAAAAGATGTTCATTTTTAACTTACCTGACTGAACATATCATTCTTTGGGAAAGTAAAAACAAAACAGGAAAAATGTATGGCTACTTTAATATTTAAACACACATGACAACACTGACGCACATCAGTTATCCCTACGCCCATTTAAAACAGAGGGCCAGCTAAGCATTTATCAAGTCTGTCCAACATAGCTTTTAATTTCTATCTGGAGACAGCAACAATCCAACAATCTGACATTCACAAGTGAATATGAAGTGAGAAACAACAAGCCAGACGGATAAACCAGCATACAAAAACTCCACATGGAAAACATAACAAAACTGAGGGGAATAAACAATGTCCATGTGCCAATAAACTGGTCCTTTCACTTTGGTATCCAGCTTTGGGATGACTTCAGAAACAACAAGCTTTTGAATCTCTGCAGGTTTAATTTATTTAATTAGACCATAAATATCTACTGTAATGAACAGAGAGCAGCACAAATGCAATAATAATAGTGGAATTAAAGATTACTAAAGCAAAGGATTAGAGGTCAACCGATATGGTTTTTTTCACGCCGATGCCGATACCGATACCGATACCGATACCGATCTTTTGAAATCCGGGTTGGCCGATGGCCGATTAATGCTGCCGATTTATTTTGGCCGATATTTTGCCAATATTTGCTTGGTTTTTAACCTCTATTTGCACTGAACTGAAGCACAGAAATCCGCGTTGATATTCGGTACGGTAGATAACGGTCGTTAAGGTTCCAGTGCCGTATTAGCACCGGGTCTGTCTGTAGCTACCCGTTAGCAAAGCAAAGCCAGTCTGTCACTAGCCTATAGTGCGTTGGTCTCTTTTTTATTACTTATTTCTCTGCATTGAGTGACAACCCTCTCAAATATAAGACACACAAACATAACAAATAAAAGTCTCAGATTCACTCTGTAATTGCAAAATTATTGCTTACTTATTGTGACATGATAGCAACTCTTCTGTGATAATGCAACTTCAACTACGATCCAAATTAGCCGAATGTCATGTGTCTTATTCAGGTTTTTTCTCGAAGTTGGCAGTAACATATCAAAAGTTTTTAATTAAATATAAAGGAGTAATAATAATTGAATCCTTACCGTTAGCTCCTTAGGCACTGGATGAGGTCTGCTGCTCACTCGGCTGGAAAATGACTCTAGCGGCAGCGCGCGTCAAACACTAGGCTGCCCACAGATGCGCCTGCCTAATAATCGGCTTGATATACTTGGATATTGGCCGATGCCGATTATGTTAAAAAATGCCAAAAATTGGCCGATTAATCGTCCGACCGATTAATCGATCGACCTCTACAAAGGATTTTGCGAACTGAAAAATTACACAAAAAACAACAACAGTAATGAAATCCACAAGGAGGATTGATAGAATCCAACTAGATGCAATTTCCAACTAATCAGCCAACAAAGAAAAATGGGCCAGATTATTGAGAAAAAACCTTCAAGACACAAGGAACATAACAGTCTGAGTGTGTAGCACAGGCTATAACAGCATGTGCTTTGGCAAAACAAGCATTAAAGAAGCAAGTGCACTAGCATAAAAAGTGTTCTTGCAGTTTCTTTCTAACACTACCACATACAATACTTCAACTCTCTTTTGGATTCCTGCTTCTCAGGTTCAACTTTACTGCTGAAGCGGGTGATTTCTCTACTGTAAATGAAGTTATTTGTAGACATGTATTGTAGGCTTTAATTCAACTTAACATAAACTGGAAATCTTCACCAACTGACTGAACAAGACAACAAAACACGTTTTAGAGTCACAATGTCCAAGACACCACAATCCCATTTTACACTTGATTTCCATTTGTCTGAAACTGACAGTGGCGAAAGTTCTTCACTAGCAGTGTGCAATGAAAAAAGCAAAGACAGTACCATGAGCTTGTCCAACAAAGACAATAGTAGCACAGGGGCAAGTGGCAACCATCTCTGACAAAAATAATTGTATATAGTTGGGTAATGTAAGTTCTTCGCAGTCTACTGTTACAGCTGCTGCATTTGTAAACCTCAGTGCTGTGATAAAACATTTAAGTCTGATTACATCTGAATCAGTCTATACAGAGTCTATACAGAGCCAGCAGCCACAAATCTCTATTAATCTGCAGTACAAGTCTATTAAGCCAGTGAGCATTTGTTGACTACAGTGCCTTGCGAAAGTATTCGGCCCCCTTGAACTTTTCGACCTTTTGCCACATTGCAGGCTTCAAACATAAAGATATAAAACTGTAATTTTTTGTGAAGAACCAACAACAAGTGGGACACAATCATGAAGTGGAACGAAATTTATTGGATATTTCAAACTTTTTTAACAAATAAAAAACTGAAAAATTGGGCGTGCAAAATTATTCAGCCCCCTTAAGTTAATACTTTGTAGCGCCACCTTTTGCTGCGATTACAGCTGTAAGTCGCTTGGGGTACGTCTCAGTACATATCAGTTTTGCACATCGAGAGACTGAAATTTTTGCCCATTCCTCCTTGCAAAACAGCTCGAGCTCAGTGAGGTTGGATGGAGAGCGTTTGTGAACAGCAGTTTTCAGTTCTTTCCACAGATTCTCGATTGGATTCAGGTCTGGACTTTGAGTTGGCCATTCTAACACCTGGATATGTTCATTTGTGAACCATTCCAGTGTAGATTTTGCTTTATGTTTTAGATCATTGTCTTGTTGGAAGACAAATCTCCGTCCCAGTCTCAGGTCTTTTGCAGACTCCATCAGATTTTCTTCCAGAATGGTCCTGTATTTGGCTCCATCCATCTTCCCATCAATTTTAACCATCTTCCCTGTCCCTGCTGAAGAAAAGCAGGCCCAAACCATGATGCTGCCACCACCATGTTTGACAGTGGGGATGGTGTGTTCAGGGTGATGAGCTGTGTTGCCTTTACACCAAACATAACGTTTTGCATTGTTGCCAAAAAGTTCGATTTTGGTTTCATCTGACCAGAGCACCTTCTTCCACATGTTTGGTGTCTCCCAGGTGGCTTGTGGCAAACTTTAAACAAGACTTTTTATGGATCTTTAAGAAATGGCTTTCTTCTTGCCACTCTTCCATAAAGGCCAGATTTGTGCAGTATACGACTGATTGTTGTCCTATGGACAGAGTCTCCCACCTCAGCTGTAGATCTCTGCAGTTCATCCAGAGTGATCATGGGCCTCTTGGCTGCATCTCTGATCAGTCTTCTCCTTGTATGAGCTGAAAGTTTAGAGGGACGGCCGGGTCTTCGTAGATTTGCAGTGGTCTGATACTCCTTCCATTTTAATATTATCGCTTGCACAGTGCTCCTTGGGATGTTTAAAGCTTGGGAAATCTTTTTGTATCCAAATCCGGCTTTAAACTTCTCCACAACAGTATCTCGGACCTGCCTGGTGTGTTCCTTGTTCTTCATGATGCTCTCTGCGCTTTAAACGGACCTCTGAGACTATCACAGAGCAGTGCATTTATACGGAGACTTGATTTCACACAGGTGGATTCTATTTATCATCATTAGTCATTTAGGTCAACACTGGATCATTCAGAGATCCTCACTGAACTTCTGGAGAGAGTTTGCTGCACTGAAAGTAAAGGGGTTGAATAATTTTGCACGCCCAATTTTTCAGTTTTTTATTTGTTAAAAAGATTTGAAATATCCAATAAATCGTTCCACTTCGTTCCACTACAGTTTATATCTTTATGTTTGAAGCCTGAAATGTGGCAAAAGGTCGAAAAGTTCAAGGGGGCCGAATACTTTCGCAAGGCACTGTACATATGCTATATTTCAGCAACGTCTTCCATAATTAAACAATTCACTTTCATCTCTCACATTG